CCTCCAGGCACTCTCTGCGAGAGCCCGAGAACAGGACGTACAGCACCGAGCGCCGTGACAGCCGGTCCCCAGGGACGAACCGCGAGAGAATCCATTCCATCTTTTTCCAAACCGCCTTCGGGTACCAACACTCCAGGAAGAGCTGGTCCACGGTCTCCTGGGCCTCTGCAGTCGGCCCGAGGGCAACGTGCTGACCGGCCCAGACCTCGACCCTGCGTGAATGCCCCGAGTGGGGGGGTTGAGCCCCTTTTATCGCCAGCCAGGCCATGTCTCAATGGTTGTTGGCCGGTGACGAGACGTCTTGCCAAGATGCGGCCGGCCTTCGCCGCAGGGTACCTCCCGATCGGGTTCTGCCCTCTCCCCCTTTCGAAACCGTTTCGACCGCCTGCCGCGCGGACCGACCGCTCGGTCAGCGCTCCGGGGTCTGGGATGAGGCTGGTCAGGAATTTCTCCACGGAGGATCAGGCGGTCCGGCTCCAGCCGTGTGGGGCGTTCCGAGGCAGTTCGGCCAGACCCACCCTTCTTAGCACCGGGCGGCGGGCGTTTGTTGGCGGAGCAGCCGGACACAGCCTCGGGCCCCTACACACCCCTTTCCCCCCCACCCACCCACCCACCGCCCTTTTTCCGGGGTTTTGCGCTTGGTCTCTCTGCGGGCGCACGATCCGTCTCGGACCCCACCCCGGATGAGTTGGAAGACCTCTGTGGATCTGGGGATAGAAGTGTGTGAGGCCCTCTCAGTGTTACTGTAGGTGACCCAAGGTCTGGCCATTGACCACTCACACACACACACACACATACACACACACACATACATACACACATACACACACACATACATACACACATACACACACACATACACACACACATACATACACACACACATACACACACACATACACACACACACATACACACACACACACACTCACACATACACACACACTCACACATACATACACACACACACACACACACACTCTCACACACACAACATAACCTGCCCTCCCGCACGAGGGTGAGAGCCATCCCGGAGAACCATGGAAATGACGCCCCCCCCCCCCCCGCCCCCTCTCTGGATAGAATCAGCCGCCCACGTGGGCAGCTTCCCGCGAAACTGACGTCACCCTGGTAACCGTTGCCCCGCGTGACCGGACGTACGCGGGCCGTGATTGGCTGCCCGGGGCCCGGCGCGCGCGCACGCGCGGCGCGGCGCAGGAAGGGGAGGAGGAGGAGGCGGCGGCCGCCGGGGTGGGCGGGCCCTTCCCTCCGGAAGTGGTGGTGGTGGTGGCGGCGCCGCTGGTGCTGGTGTGTGTGTGTGTGTGTGCGCGTGTGGCTGCGCGCGTGTGAGTGTCTGTGGCTGTGGGCTGGAGGCCGGAGCAATGTCGGACTTCAAGCTCGGCATCGTGCGGCTCGGGAGAGCGGCCGGGAAGGTGAGAGGGAGGGAGGGTGGGTGTGTGTGAGAGAGAGAGAGAGAGAGCGCGCGGGCTGAGGCCCGGTACCGGCGGCGGGCGGGCGGGTGGTCGGCGGTGGGGGGGTGTGTGTGTGAGAGAGAGAGCGCGCGAGTTGAACTGAGGCCCCCGGCGTCCGGGTAACGGAGGAGAAGGAGGAGGAGGAGGAGGGAGGGAGGGAGGGAGGGAGGCGGCGGGAGAGCTAAACTGAGGCCCGGTACCGGGGACGGACGGAGGGAGGGAGGCGGAGAGAGAGAGAGAGGGAGGGTGTGTGTGTGTGAGAGAGAAAGCGGAGAGAGAGAGAGAGCTGAGGCCCAATACCGGGGAGGGAGGGAGGGAGGGATGGAGGGAATGTGTGTGAGAGAAAAAGCGCGCGAGCGAACTGAGGCCCGGCACCGGGGGGGGGGAGGGGAGGAGGGGGAGAGGGAGGGAGTGTGTGAGAGGGAGAGAAAAAAAGAGAAAGGGAGAGAGAGAGAGAGAGAGAGAGCGCGAGTCGGGGGCCTCTGACGGCCGAGTGTGTCTGTCCCGAGAGGGTTCGGCCCGCGGGCCGAGCAACCGTCACAGGGGCCGCGACACGACACGAGGCCGCGGCCTGGGGTTGAAGGGCGCGAGGGAGGGAGTCTCGCTGGGCCCCGGGGGGGAGGGGCGGGGAATCCAGGCCCGGGCGGGGGCGGCGGGGGGGGTCCGGGCCTCCCTCGGCTCCGTGTGGCGGCTGGCGGTGAGTGAGCGGAGGAGGCACATGGCGGGTGGGCGGGTGAAGGAGAGGGAAGCCATGTGGCGGGAGGGCGGGCGGGCGGCCTGGGGAGCGGCGACCGAGAGGCACACCACCCCCCCCCATCACACACACTCCCTCTCCCTCACTCCACACACACTCTCTCCCTCACTCACTCACTCCCCACACACACCCTCACTCACTCCCCACACACTCCCTCACTCACTCCCCACACACACCCCCTCCCTCACTCACTCCCCACACACCCCCTCCCTCACTCCACACACACCCCCTCCCTCACTCCACACACACACACCCTCCCTCACTCCCCACAGACAACCCCTCCCTCACTCACTCCCCACACACCCCCTCCCTCACTCCCCACACACCCCCTTCCTCACTCCCACACACTCACTCACTCCCCACACACACACCCCCTTCCTCACTCACTCCCCACAGACAACCCCTCACTCACTCACTCCCCACACACCCCCTTCCTCACTCACACACACACCCTCACTCACTCACTCCCCACACACACCCCCTTCCTCACTCACTCCCCACAGACAACCCCTCACTCACTCCCCACACACCCCCTTCCTCACACACACACACACCCTCACTCACTCACTCCCCACACACACCCCCTTCCTCACTCACTCCCACACACACCCTCACTCACTCACTCCCCACACACCCCTTTCCTCATTCACTCACTCCCACACACACACCCTCACTCCCCACACACACACACACCCTCACTCACTTACCCCACACACACACCCTCCCACACACCCCTCGCTCACTCCCCATACCCCCTCCCTCTCTCCCCACACACACACTCCTTCCTCTCCACGCACCCCCCCCTCACTCCCCACACACACACTCCCCACATACACTCCTTCCTCCCTACACACTCCTCCCTCCCCACATACCTCCCTTCTTCTCTTCCCACCCCACACTCCTTCCCTCTCCCCACCCAAGGCACCCACCCCCCCTTCTCCTCCCCCGCACACCCTTGCTCTCCCCACGCCCCGTCCCCTCATGCCTCCAGCCCCACATCTGCCCCGCACCCTCCCTCCTGACTCCCTCACCCCACGCTATCCCTCTTGCCCTACCCCCCCATTCCATCCTGTCCTGCTCCCCACCACACACCCCCCTCCCTCAGCCCCACATGCACACTCCCTCGGTGACTGAAAGTGGCGACTCAGGTGATAGATGGTGTTACAAGATCTCGCATGGTTCACATAGCAAATCTACACGCGCTTTGGACCGAGATTGTAGAGCATCTTGAGGCCCTTATAGGAACACTTTCCGTGTAGTGGCTTAAGTTGAGGAGATGTAGTGAAGAAGGTGGGGTTTTCATTGGTATTTTGTGCAGTCTGGCGTAGTCTCATCATTGAAAATGTCAACGAGGCTCCTCGCTGAGCTTAACTGTGTAGTTATCTGTTCCTATCAGTTACTTCTTGGGCAGTTGGTGTTGAGCAAGCCTGCTTTGCAAAATTGGGCTTTGCAAACAAGGAAAGCTACTTGCCTGAAAGTTACTTGTCTGGAGAATGGTGCCATTGTGGAGTTTCGGAAGACTTCCTGGTATTGGCTATTTGTCCTGTAGGAGCATTGATCCATGCAGATCAGCTATCAACCCTGCTTGGCATTGCTGAACAGAGTACACTGAGTGCCTTGGTTGGTATTGCTCCGCAGTTTGTGTTCTGTGTATCAGTTCAGCTGAAGAAGGCCCTTTGGGGCATTTGATGTCATCCTTCAAGAATGTCCACTCTTCTGTCCTTCCGTCAATGAATCGAGCTTATTTTATAAAGGAGTTCAAGATCTTGGTCTAAATAACCCTCCCTGGTAACATGTTCCAGTTGAAAATTACCCTCTGGGTCAACAAATACTTGCTGGTGTTTGGCCTGTAACTGCCCCTTGCTGTTCTGAATCTGCCCTTATTCTGTAGCCCTGCTCGATATGAGAATATTGTTCAGTTTACTTTCTCAATCCCATTTAAAGTCTTATGTACCTCGATAAGGTCCCCTCTGGGCCTTTTTTGAAAGACAGAAGAGCACTAACTTATCTAATTGTTGCACAGTGCCCTTTCCTCTTAACACTGGGGATCGACCTCGCTGCTCTCCTTTGCACTGCCTGAGGGTCGAGGCAGCATCTTTTCAAGGACCTCCTTTTTTTAATAAAACTGCTCATTGATGTACATTGGCTGCAGCACTAAATATCTTCTGCAGAACATTGAAATGACTGCATTGAGCCAGCTGGGGCCACCTGTGGCGGGTAACTGTTTACATTCCGATATGCATTTCAAAACCACTTGCAATGAACGTCTGCAAGCAAATGAACCATATCGTAATTGGTGAGAATTTAATCTGGTGAGTCAATTGCATAGGTACGAATCTGGCGGTATTGCAAAGCAGCAAGATGACTTTTGAATGCCTTTACGGTTTAGTCATCTGCTTTTTAAATAGTAACATACATACACCTCTCAATCTGGTTGTAGACTTGAGTTCCACCATCTTAAAGCACTTCAACAACAGGATAGAGCTGTTTAGCTTTTGCATGGCGTGACTGGTTGTAAAAGTTAATAGTGGGATTTTGGACTGCACAGTGGGATATTGACTGGTGTTTATTCTTGCAATACAGGAAAGTAGCGCTATGCCATTCTGCTATGTGTATCTGAAGCTGTAAAAGTGATGCCTGATGACATGGCCCGATTGCAACTGTCTTTGTGAAAGAGGATTGTGCCACGATGCTTTCCACCAGAAATTAGATTTTAATCAAAGTGCAATTTGTTAGAAATATCTGTTTTGCTTTACTTTGGTGCATAATACTTTTCAAATCTTCAGTGCCTGCTGCACATGTGGTATATCTCTGCTTTTTTTTTGACAGCGGGAACAAAACTCAACTCTGCTGTTGCTCCCAAAGAGACCGTAAAGGGTTTCCTGTTCCGTGGAGTTGGAGTGCTGAAGAAGTTTCCTTGGCCGGTGTGGCATAAGAGCACCTTCAGTTGATCAGTTTTCCACCCTCATGGTGAATGGGTGGCTGAAATCTGAGTGTTGTAGCTACACTGCTGAAAGCCTATCAAACTTCCAACTTCAAACATTAAATGCGGCAAAATTAAATGAGTAGTGTTTGATCATTTGACCACAGTCCATCTATTTGAAGTATAGATGCTGACTATATTTGCTGGCTAGGTTTGTCCCTGACATTACAGGTTCATTTAAATAATTTGCACTTACAAAGCGCCTTTGCTTTGGGTACCTAGGAGCGCTTTTCAAAGACGAGCTTGGAATACTGAGTGGGGGAACTGGACCTAGGCATGTACGAAGAGGTTGATTTTAAAGTGGGACTTGGTCTGAATAGAGAGGGAGTCAGAGGGAGGTATAGACTTTATTGTAATAAAATATAGTGTCCATCAGAGACAGCTGTACAGCTGTTGAATTGAAGTTCAGTATGCTTTGCACAAAGATCCAGTGATACATAGAACACCCGTTGCAGGCTACAAATTTGCCCACAAAATATACAGTCAATTTACTTTACAGTGTATTCTGTGAATAACTGAGACATCTCAATGACGTGATTATTATTCAGTGTTAATCTTTGTGCTCTTGCTATAAATCTGGGTGAAATTGTAAAGTGTTACCTGATTATTTTAGTGCATCCATTTCTCTTGCTTTGTTCAGTTCCTTTCTGCTCAGTTAGGTTGTAAACCAGTTTGTATATTGGTAATGGAAGCTGTCCAACTCCTTGGGGACATATGGAGTGTTGAAGATGCAGGTGGAACCTTTAACAGCAATTCTGCTTTTCTGTTATTTCCAGACAAAGTACACGCTGATCGATGAGCAGGATATCCCTCTCGTGGAGAACTACACTTTTGAGGTAAGAAAGAATTAACACTTGCTTCTGTAGAAGATTACGGTTCCTGCTGTGTCTTGAAAGGAATCCTAGAAGACGTTCTTCTTAAAATGGCCAATAAGAAGTTTTAAAAAGTCAAATGCACAACACTAGGTTGAGTGTTCCATTCAGCCATCCTTTATATTTTACAAAGTAAGATGATATTTTGTGGTTCCACCAGGCCAAAAATTCTAATTGGCCGCTGATGATTACGGTTTGATCCTGCAATAATGTTCTTACACTTTAAAAGCAACAGTTATTGCACTATTTTTAAACAAAACATTGTGAAATGGAGCCTGAGCACATATGTAGGAGAAGGAATGACAGGGGTGAAACACAGTAAAGCAAATGAAATTACAGTTGAAGGAACCCGACGTCATGAGATTGCTTATTTGTGGATTGTCTTCCATTCGTCTGTTGTGTGGTGTTTAATATCTTGGTGTCTTTCTCCATTTCAGGCTCGTATGGAAATAGATGCTGACGGGAATGGTGCTAAGATATTTGCTTATGCATTTGATATCAGCAAAAGGAGAGGTCCAGGGCGTCCTCTGCATGAACTGCTCTGGTGAGTATCTGAAAAATTGAACACGGGCCCATTTGGTATTTCAGGGTTTTGAAGCTTTTGATCCCTTTAACATAATCTTTGCAGGAATTGTGTATTAGATAATAATGAGTCTTATTATGATAAGAAGTACCATTAGTGTTGAAACATCTCAAAGTACTTTACAGGAAATTGTAGTCAAGTGTAGTGACTTTGTAAGCAAACATTGTAGTCAGTTGGCACTTAGCAGGTCCAACCACCCAGGAGTAAATGACCAATTTACCTAGAGGATTGTTGGCCTGGAGACGGTTCAGGCAGACACCTTCTCCTTAACATCTTATCCAAAAGATGCCACTACCAACAATGGAAAGATCCCCCAGCACTGCGTGTGAGTTGTCAACCTTGATTCAAACATCCTGATGTGTTTGAAACCATAACTTTCAGACCTGTGTGTGAGAGCCTTGCCAACTGAGTCAAATTGTAAATGACTGATGTATTGAGAGATACTTTCATGTCTGGGACTTGAGTTTGAATCAAAGGCAGATTGATCAGCTTCGAGGCTCTGCTGTTTAGATTCTAGGAAAACACTTCGATCAAATAGGATCATTTGTTGAGTGGGTTAATTTAATGAGTATGTTATTGAAAGCATTCCTGAGTCATTATCACCATCTAATGGTATGCTTAGTGCTGATGGCTTTCTTTTTAATGCAGGGAGAGACATCGAGGCGGAATTGCTCCAGGATTTCAGGTAGTTCACATCAATGCAGTGACCGTGGACAACAGATTGGATAACCTCAACCTCGTCTCAATAGGTTGGAGGCCAAAGGCAGAGGAGATTTCCAGCAAATTAAGGTAATTACCTATAGCTCAGTTATAAGTAATTGGGGGTTTTTAGCTGTTGATATAAATTGGGTATGTGGTCTGAAGCCTTTTTTTTTTGCTAATCAGCACTGACTAGTTTCCATGTATATCCAGTTTCAGTGCTAACCACTTACTTCTCTTTTTCATAGGGAGCAGAGTCTTTATTGGCTGGCTATTCAGCAGGTGCCTGCAGATCCCATTGAGGAGCAGTTTCCTGACCTGAACCTGACCCGTTACTACAATGCTAACGGTGATATCGTGGAGGATGAAGAGGACTCGTGCACGTACTATGAATGTCATTACCCACCGTGCACAATGATGGAGAAACAGGTACATGTGCACATGCAGGCGCTCAGCATTGGTAGTGAGAGTAATCGATTCAAGGTGTGTTTGCTGTTTACACAGTTGGCCATCGCGAACAATTTACAATGTTTGCAAATGCGTATTGGGAGTCACTTCAACACCACATGTTGAAGGTTCATGCTATTTAATGCCTTGAATGTACTAGTCTGAATTCCCCCCTTAATGCTATGGCATTAGATTGCCTTTTGATTACTGGCTAGTTTGATCATGTCTGTTCTGAGGTTTTTTGTTTGAACAACCATTATCCCACTACTCTCAGCGTGGATGTTCTGGTACTAGCTTCACTATTGAGAACAACATTTGAGGAGTTGGAGCACATTCCAGTAGAGGCTTGTTGCTAAGTTGGCTATATTATATCAGGCTAAATGTATGCTTAGTCTTGATTCAACCATTTTTTAAAATTCCATTTCCAGTACTTTGTATATTTTCACTGACCCCGTTTTTGATAACATTTCAGTTACGTGAATTCAACATTTGCGGGCGATGCCAAGTGGCCAGATACTGTGGCTCCCAGTGTCAGCAGAAGGATTGGCCTGCTCACAAGAAGCATTGCCGCGAAAAGAGACGTCCCCTGCAGCAGGACCTTGAGCCTGAACGATGACCCCCTCCTTCTCGCCCTTTGCCCCGCATGCTTTCGCCATGAATCGACAGCTGCGTCAGTTTTGGTTTTGCACAATTCAGACTGGACGTTAAGTTCCCCGAGCACTGAGGAAAATTACAGAGAGGACTTGATAAAGGTCTCTGTGAAGAGAGGAGACTGGGGCTTTCCTTCCTACGATTGTTAACAAAAGACTATAGGAGCTCCTAGCCAGAAGCTTCTGTCTATATTTATATGTTAATATGTATTTGAACAAAATCTTATGTACAGTTTTTTAAGTTGTAAAATCTGATCTGTTCTATTTGAAGTTCGGTAATAATGTGTAGCTGGCAGAGTTACCTAAAATTGCTCCGGTAGCAAAGTGTAACTCTGCACTGGCTTGCTGCTAATGTGATTATAGACAAAAAAGGCCCACCCTACTGTGCGTACCGGGGATTACACTAACACCACGTCTCTGGATCTTATCCATTTTGTAAAAGAAAAAATGATTGGCCTTGGACAGGGAAAGCAATCTGATTGTTAGATTATTGTGACAACTTTTTGGGCTTGTAAATTTCTTAAGTCTTGTGGCTTCATACTTGTAACCAACTTCGAACATATTCGCCTCAACTCAGAGGTTTGCATTTAATGCAGCACGTGTAAGAACATGGTGAATCTTCAAATCAGTATTTTCAGTCATTTAGAACACTTAAACCCATTTGTATCTAATGTTTTCACCGTACCTAATTTAGGAGTTGTGCGAGGCAGATAAGTAAGTTTGGATATGGCCAACTTTTGTTGTATCGGATGAACGATAAGAACTATCTTTAACAAGACACATCTTTTGTAGAGCACTTGTTTCTTATAAGGTCTTGACTGGGTTGACGTGCATGGTGCTGTTCTGTCCCATGGACCTGGTGGTTTCCAGAAATACTTGCTTCACTATATTCTCTCAGCTGACCTGTTCGGCCTGCATCGGTGACTGCATAGATTTATAGAGTGGTATATTTGCATTCTAACTGTCCCGTTTCTCCCCCTCCCTCAAAGTATGTCAGATTTCTTTGGTGGCAGTTTGGGTAAGTGTTTAAGGTACCATGTTCTGAAAGCTCTGATTCGGGTTGAATGTCTTCAGTCCCTTTGACTAATCTTCGAAATTGCATCGAGGAATGTGTGCACAAGAAACGTTGCTTTGAGTTCTTTCTACGCACAATTAATTATTCACTTTGCCTATTCCTATTCAAATATCAAACGGATTGAGCTGGGGTGCGAGTGAACAATTTTAACAAAATTGTAAATATTTAACTTATGACACATTTACAAGTACTGACAAAATATTTTTAAGTTATGCAAGTTGTTTTCATGGGGGGGGGGGGGGGGGCGGTGTAGCAGACCAGACCCATCAGCATTTAGCTCAGGCACCCCTGCTGAGCAAGCGAGATCCATTCGGCCCTTTCCAAACACACAATCCACTTACGGGGTAAAGTTCCTCCATTACTTTGATGGTTCTCCCAACTTAACACACGTAGGAAAGCCAGACTGAAAGTCTGCAGCTGGAAGCATGGATCTTTATTCCAACTTTAATGAGCACTACAGTTGGTCTTACCAATTTGCTATGGAACCACTAGATTTTCGCCGAGAATTGTTTTGAAAGTAGTAGTGGAAGCAGTTAGGTCTCCTCGCCTTTCAGCTGCATGGGATGGTAAGGTGATATATTAAAGAGTCCGAAGTGGTAGCTTGGGCTTCAGCAAAAATGATCTTCCATCTAAATATACTGCACAGCTAGAGGCCTGAATGTTCGTATATTTTGTGCACATTTTCGAGGTAGTTACTAACATGTTGTATAGTTACTGCATTGGCTTTATGTTTCTTCACAGACCTACTATCCCCCCCCCCCCCCCAAGCTCTTGCAAATTTCAGAATCTGTTCGACACGATGGGATTTCTGGGGTCTGAGCTGCTAATTCTGCTTACTTGTGCTTTTGGGTTATTGCTTGCAATGCTTAACAGTTCTAGCAAAGCCTCAAAAGATCTAGTGGTGTGGGTGGCTGTCCAGACTGCACAAGTTGACCAATGTGATATTACCCTTTTGATTTACTGCCCACCTCCCCGATTGAAAAGGGAATGGATGCAGCATTGGTGCTATTTCTGCCAGTTTCTGGCATCGTACATATTTGCCTGATGTATGGGCTGCTTTTGTTTTTGAAATTGCATTTGGTCTGGTTTAATTCAAGGGGCTTTTATAACTTGCGTTTTAAACCAAAGTGGAAACGATGCCGTTAAATTTTTCCACCACCCCCACCTCTGTGTGTTGTCTTGAATCTTAATTGCCCTTAAGACAAAACATTACCAACCTGCAATTATCCAAACAAGTTTGTATTTGTATCTGGTCTGTCTGGATATCTGAACTATATTCAGAAATGTCCCGTTGTGTGTTAGTGGTATTCCGCCCAACTCATTGTGGATGGGAGGAATTGTCTTTATTTTTGTGTTGAAAAAAATTGCATACATCTTATTGCCAATAATTCTCAAATAGTTATTTCAGGAAAAAGATCTTTTTTGCAGATTGATTGGATTTTGTGCTCTCGCTGGTTGGGCCATTTCACACTAACGTTATGGGAAAGCATCATTCAGAATTTATCTGTTTAAAAAAAAAAGGCTCCCAAGATTTGAAATTAAATATTTGAATATAATGGAATCCGGGCATAATATTGGCTAGTTTATAATTTTACTGATTACAGGTTGAGTGATTTGATGATGACTTTTTTTTTGTTGAGCGGCCACGGTTTCAGGTGTTTTCTCCTGGTTTGAAGCTTAACACCATCAGCGCGATGCCATCTTTGAAGCTGTTGCAACTTCATTCAGAGTTGATTTAAGAATGGTTAGACGTGTAAGGGTCCTTTTAAACGAGGAAATGCTTGTTGCACTCCTACCTTCGACCCATTCTGTTTCCGTCAAGTCACGGATTGACCACTGGCCATTTGTGGTGTCGCTATGCCCATCCCCAGTTTGTTTCATGCACTGAATACAGTATTTTTGCCTGTATTTAAATCGTTAAAAAATAAAGCTGAGTCGAATTTCTGATAACGGGACATGCTGATGACTGTGCGTTGCGTCGCGGACGCAACCTGATATCGCTCGGCGGTCCCCGCGGCCCGGGTTCAGATCCAGCCTGGTTGAGTCCCAATCTAGACGGTTGGGCTCTTGAGTGACCAATCCCTCCTCCCTCGCCCGTTTTCAGATCTCACCCGAGGGGGCCTCTGGGGTTGGGAGACCTTCCCTCTTGGAGCGCGCCTCCGGCGGTCATCTGCCCGGCGGCCTCCGTCGCTGTCGAGGGCTTTGAGCTGTGGTGGAGTTGGCCGGATGTTGACTTTGGGCGACAAACCTACGGTAGCCCAAAGCCAATCAAATACTCGCGCCCCCACCCCACCAGTGGCCCGATGTTGTGCGTTGTCTTTGAGACGTCTCCGACGAGGCGCTTTGTCGACCACATCGTGAGAATTGTCATGATTGTCCCCAATTGGGCGGCGGAGCGGCCAGTTTTTGGATGAGCGCTTTCGAAACCCCTTTTTTTTTAAAAGAATAAAAGATTTTTCAAAGAGCGGGCGAAAGTAATCGTGATGATAGTAATGTTAATTAAAGAAAACTTTTGAGCGGGTTTCAATTAATTTTTTAAAACCAATTAAGCGCTTTTTGTTTAATCCCTCCTCTCCCCCCCCCCCACCACCACCACACGCGGCAAGAAAAAAAAACGCCCAATCGTGGGCGTGAACCCGCCCAATGAGGACAAAGGGGGCGGGGTTTAACGCCCGGTTGGGCGGGGTGGGCGTGGACGCGGCGGCGGTTGACAGTTGGGATTGGGTGGCGCGAGCTCGCTTCCCGCGGAGGCGGGAGGAGTTTGAAAGGTGGAGGGGGCGGGGCCGGCCGCTGGCGGAGCCGGATTGGCTGCGGCAGCTGTCAATCAACGATTTGAACGCTTTTCTTGGGGGCGGCGGAAAAAGAAGAGGCGGCGGTTTGGAGCTTCGCCGGAAGTGAAGGGGGCCGCGTGAGAGGGGGCGAGAGGCTGAGGTGCGGGGGTCGAGGGGCGGTGGGGGGGGGTGGTTGTGTGTGATGGCCCCGCGCTTCTCGCCGCCCGCCCTGTAAGGGGAAGGGGAGAAAAAAGAGAACTCGCCCCTCGACAGCGACAACAGCGGCTCCGATTGACAACGTGAGGCTCAGCCGCGGCCGCCCGAGGTGAGTGCCTCGGGGGTGTCGGGCTGAGGAGAAGAGGCTGAGGGACAGGGCGCCGCGTGTGTGTGTGTGTGTGGGGGGGGGGAGTCGGGGTGAGAGGTTTTTTTTGGAGGGGTGGGGGGGGGGGACACTCGACGTCTTCCCAAAAATGGTCACCGAGCGGCAGGTAAACGCCGTGTGTGGTGGGGGGTGTGGGGGGACGACGTTGCTCTGGTTAGCCCACGCAATGCACAGTCACTACACTTTACGGCGACGTCTCGAAGACGCGATGAGGCGCTGTGTCAGATGCAAAGATGATTTATTATTATCATCATCATCATCATCGCTATTATTATCTACAATTAAAAAAAAACCTTTAGCTCTCTGTGGGTGTTTCCAATGATGTTGTGTTGTTGTTGTTGTTATAATTTTTTTTATTACAACCGGTGCGGGATTTGCCGTAACGTTTGGTGACTCTTATTGTATTTGAGACGTCCCGGAGACGTGGTCGGGCGCCATATCACACGCAAGGGTTATTATTATCATTATTATCATTAATTAGCAGCTGACGAGCAAATGTAGGCTGCACTGGTCCTCGCCTTCTGTAATTTCAGTGACGAGGGGTGATCGGGGAGAAGTGCGAATCGGCAAAGAGGGCGAAGGGATGATTGGGGAGAGTACCATTGAGGAGGTTGATGTATTGGAGAGATTGGGGTGACTGGTGGCATTGGGGAGGTTGAGGGAATGGCGGGACAACGAGACTGGAATTCACTTTGTTTTCCTTTAAACTGAATGGCTTATTTTATGAAAGAAAACCCAGAAGAAGCCAGAACTTCCCAGCATGTCGTATCATAATCTGAAAGAGGGACAAGAATATGTTGATGTTTTGGTTTGGAGGTTTGGATTGTCATCTCAATTCCCGAGCCTGGCTGATAATTTGAGAAGTGCGTTTTGAATACTCAAGTCAATTTGGTTTTCTTTGGAAGAGAAAACATCCTTTTTTTAATACAAGCAATGAACGGTTTAATTTACTTTACGATTGTTGCTTTGTGTGATCGAAATGATTCAGATGTGTTCAATAAACATTGATTTATTGTATAAATAAGTCTGAAGTATGTTTGAAATATCAAAGTGAATTTATGGCTAAACTTTGATTTATTTTAAAGTAAAGGAATACAAAATAAAATATTTAATATTGGAAGGACATAAGAGGTAAATAATAGACTTTACATGCACAGAATACATTTTTGGGGAAAATTGTCCTTCGAATATTTGAAAATTATTTGTAATTGGATTTATCTGGTTATGATCCAATATTATTTAATTATGTTGACTACTGCTCGGATCATATTCCTGAAATAATCATTGTTTTAAAAATGTAAACAAGAATTTTGTCTATTTTAAAAAAAAGTAGTTAAATGACGTGTTTGAGAGTGAAAGAGATATGTAGTTGTGAATTAAGTGTATTACAGGATTTGGAAGAAAATGAGCAAATGGGATTAGGGAAATGACAAGGTTCCATGAACTACTATAATGGCAGATTAATAACTGTAATAACTGATTACTTTAACTTTGATTCAGATGCTGCAATTCTGAACACTTGCACTGAATCGTGCAGTATTAACTGATGGTGACATGGATGCTCGATGCATGACCCGAACACTACAGGTGGTTGATACTGAGTACAGTGCGGATGCTGTTGAATGGTGTCCCATTGATGGGTGGCATAACGTACTGGCCTGTGGTACCTACCAGCTGAAGATGCCTGAGGACAAGGTATTTAACTGTAGAGTATGATTATTAAAATTAATTAATGAGACAACTGGTATAGAGCAGAAAGATCCTCAGATCAGTCTCTGGTCTGTGCCAGCCTGATTTCAGCCAAAATGCTGAGGCATAGCAAGATCTGTATTATCACTTTATTCAACTTTCAAATGGGTCACACTCGATGTTAACCTGCCATTCCCTTTCTGAATGCTGTTGCATTTGTAGAATCAAAATTGCTATATAAAGATCCATGTCGAAGGGTTTAATTTGTGGTTCCGCATTAATTAGCAGTCTTGTTCTGGTGCCCAAGAGAGGGGTTATAACTGGGTTACTCTTTAACTCTTTTCAGGCTGGTGGAGATTCAGAAAACACAAAACCTCATATGCGACTGGGTCGTCTTTACCTCTACAGTTTTCATCAGGAGCAGCTGTACTCTCCGCTAACAGAAGTGCAGAGGATTGAAATGCCTGCAATCCTAGATCTGAAATGGTAAATGGAAATGGGGAACACAGCATAATATATGGCTTTCCACTCTAAACTTGGAGTTGCTCCTCCTTCCTCGTGTATTCAGCAAATATAGTGCTCAATCTTCATGTTTGAACCTGGAGATTAGGGCTCATCGTATTTGAGCAATTGGAAAGAATGCCTTAGCCTGGTTGTATTATTACACACATCTGCATTTTGGTGCAATGACAGCTGAAACCAATGCCCTGTTCAGCTTGCAGCTTTAACTGACTATTTTTGTATATTGGTATGTATGTACAAATGGATGGGATGGAAAGTAATCCTAAAGTACTTTACTGCAGGTGCCATGTGCCGTTGGCTGAACATCCTATGCTGTGCCTAGCGAATGCTGAGGGAAGGCTGGAGCTGTTTAATCTGATAGCTGAAGAGGTATATGGGTCCATATCACATAACAATGTTAAACAAAGCTTTTAAGATGCTATTCATCAGTGTATTAATTCATTTCTCTTTGTATTTCTTTACTGAGGGTTGTATGGGTAGCCATCATGGTCTTGGGAATAGAAAAGGAAGGAGTAGGTAAAGAGTGCTCACTGCCCCAGCATAGGGAGGAAAAAAAACTAAGCAGGTTCTTGCACAGTTATTATCCAATAAATCATGATGAAAAACGTGCAAGTGTGAAGGTTGACTGGACCATACTCAGCTGTGAAGTCATCCACACTAGAACTTCCAGCCAATACTCACAATTTGGGTTGACACATTAGAAAAAACACTTGAGGTCATTCAAATGGTCTTCAGGCAAGGGGTTTGGTGAATTGAAGGAGGAAAACATTTTGAAATTCAATTGGTTTAAAACAGTTGTTTGTGTGCAGCGACGTTATGGTTTATTTCAAGGTGGACGAATAAGGCAATTAAAATAGAAGCAAGAGACAAATGAGATTTGAGTTTCTAAGGTGAAAAGGAGTAAAAATTTGCTGAAATGTGGTAAATGAACATAGGTTGTCAGGGCCCAATGGAAGAGAACAGGAAGTTGAAATTGTGACGTGAGAGATCTTAAAGGGCAGTGCTGATGGTGGTTCTTCTGCATCTGATCTGTACTATTATCTGACTTGAGTGCAGAGCAGGGATATTTTAATCATTGATATTAAAACAGTTATATGGCTGAGTATGATCTTTTCTTCCAGTAGAAAAACAGCTGCTTGTTGGAGCCAGTGTGCAGTGTTGCTGTAGGCCCGGAGTGCCTTGCTTTATCCCTGGACTGGTCCACAGGAAGAGGAAATCAGTAAGTTTTTGCTTTCGCTTTGTTGGCATCACTCTTGCCTTTTAAGGTATTTTCAGTCTCTGCACCAACATCGTGGGCAAGTGAACTGGTGTTTCAGCTGCTTGCAAGGCCTTTGCTAATGCACTGTAAAACTACATTAGGAAGTGCAGCGAGGCTTGGGATAATACTTGCGAGCATTTTCTCTCATTCTGTTGGAAAAAGCACTTAATCTTTATTTGATGCCCCCTGCAGTAAAAACTGATTGATGCTAGTAATTCACATATTAGAGGAATATGTCCAAAGCCACATCCACAATGCAGTATTTCAGATCTCCAGCTCTATACTTCAAATGAAAAACCGTGGAATGAGTCTGTCTTAACCCCATTTCTTACTGATGCATGTAAAATTTAGACCAGAGTAGCCTATTTTGTTATAAAGATTAAGATGCATAATTGGGCTGTGCAGACAGTGTGAGCTTTTTCTGATTGTGCTGTATTTGACCCGCAGGAGTGCTTTATCCAAACGCTAGGAGACAAAGTGGAAAATGTGTTTCATTCTCCAACATTGGCATCCATTTCCTTGAGAAGTACAGAGATTCAACAAAAATGTTCTAAAGTGCACTCACTTTTCATGATCAATTTCTCAGCTGTGTATAGTACAATCTCTTCAAGTACACTGATAACAAGTCATTAGACATTCTTCAAGGAACAAGGAGTACAATTGATTCGGTTTGACTTCTGTAACATGCTTAATCCTGTTAAGTTAAATATTTCTTAGCTATGTGTGTAAACTGACATGGTGCTGATAATCTGAAGGTCTTTTTCCATTGCTCCCCAGGAGTGAATCAGTGAAGATTATTAGCAGCGACTCGAAGGGTTGTCTGAGCCTGGTGTCTGTGGGTGGTTCCAGCCCAGCGCTTGATGTCGTCTCTCAGTGGAAAGCGCATGATTTTGAGGCTTGGATTTCAGCTTTCAATTACTGGAACACTGACATTGTATATTCAGGTAACCCTCTCCAGTCTTCCTGAGTGATCAAAGGTTGAAATAGGCTCTGAAAATTGTAAATTCTATACTATGATTGTTGCTTAATTTAAACCTTTAGAAAATTGCCTGAGACTTATTATTTTAGCAGTTAATTTGAACCAAACTGGTTTAAAATGGTGGCATGAAGTTGACGGGTAAGTCAATTGCCAGTTAATTGAGGGCATGCTCTCAGTGCACAGTTTGTGTGAAGCACTTTGAGATGTTGCTCTTTGAGAAAGGTGCTCTACAAATGCAAGGTGTTGTCCTTTATCTTTCCTTCTCGGAGAGGTAGCTGTGGATTTTAACACAACTCCCTGAAAGCAAGGTGCATCACTTGGGGGCATAGTTTGGGTTGGGAACTTGGGTGTTGAACCTTGAATTTTCATCTTGAATCTCCACTGTGTTTCTGCAGGAGGAGATGACAACAAGCTGAAAGGTTGGGACACACGAATGGAAACTGACGGGCCAGTCTTTACCAGCAGCAGGTGTGTGTACAGTGTGAAGATGTATTTCAGCATGATTGTTTTGACGGGAGAACTATCTTCATCTCATGTTTGTGCGACCAGTGAACATTGTGGTATTGCATTATGTAGTGATCAAAATCTGAGCTGAAGTTTGGATAGAAGACTTATTTTGCTCACCTAGTGGCATCATGAAAGATAATGCCCCTCAAGTCATGCATAAGTTACCTACTGAGTAAAGCTAACAACATTTGTAAAGCAGTCATAAGTCAATCACAGTGAGAGAGTGAGAGTTAGATTGAGTGTACTGCTAGAAGTACTTTCAGGTCAAGTATTGCATGAATTAAATGCAGTGTAAAGCTCGCTCTGTGCCAACTCATTAGCTCCAGTGTCATTCAGCAACAACAAAATTACATTTGTATAGCGCCTTTCACGTCAGGACAACGTCCCAAGGTTACGGACCCGAGCTGGTGGAGGGTGGAGGGAGGGGGAAGAGCAGGGGTGAAAGCAGGGAGATCGAAAGCACGGTCAAAGAGGAGGGTCTTGAGGTGCGCCTTGAAGGTGGTGAGGGAGAGGGCGAGAGTGACGGAAGGCTGCCCGCCGATAGTGGAGCGAGCAATGCAGGGGATGTGGCGCAGGCCGGAGCCCGCTAAGGGGAGGGAGCGAACACGGTGGTAGGGGGTTAGGAGGTTGGAGAGGTAGGAGGGAGCAAGACCGTGGAGGGCATTATTGCTTGAATGAATAATTCAAGCATTATTCATGGACAGTCTTAAGTATTTAGCTGCTGGGAAAGGTACATGTCAAATTCACCAACTGGAAACGAGAAACTTCTGAAAGCAGGTATCCTGTGTGACTGTTGAATAATTGAGTTGTTACTGAAGGAGTCTGTCACCATGCAGAAAGGTTCATTGTCCTTCTTTACAGTTAGAAAATAGGTCAGCAAATGGTTGTGCATGTATTTGAATTGTTTGATTTATAGTGTTATAAGATATATTAATTTTGTTTTTTCTTCTTGAGAAAATTTAAGTTGTGATCTAATTTAGAATTTGAGGGTAGCTGCTGAATGAAACTTCTGAGATTTGGGAAATTTGATAAATAGAAAGATTATGCAAGGTGACATATTAAAGTTTTGAACTGCAATGAATTGTTGTTGCCATGCGATGCATCACTGTCTCATTCCTTGAGTCTGGTGCGGGCGGTAATTTAATAATATGGATGTCAGTGGATCATGGGGTTGCATTGCCATACCTCACTAAGTTTACATTTTTTTAAAAAAACTCTTAAGTAGAACTCCTTTTAAATTGATTTTCAGGCACTCAATGGGTGTTTGCAGCATCCAGAGCAGTCCTCACAGACAGCACATTCTGGCTACTGGAAGGTAAGATACCTGTTTTCAAATCACCTAAACACCTTCCTCTTCGACCATGCTTACAGTCACCTCCTCCCTCCCCCTGGCTTAGCATCAGGCTCTGCCACTGTTAAGCACTCACAGACGCGACCATGCGTGAAGGGCACTATATAAATGTAAGTTGTTGTTGTTTACCAGCCTGGACTGCATCCAGGCTGGTAAAAGCTCAGGCCAAAGCAGTTGAATTGTTCATTGCATGATTGAGGATTCATGTTGTGCTCAGGTCCACATGCACTCAATTGAATTACTGGCTCATAAGGTTTTACTGGTATCTGAATAATTGAATTGAGTATTGTGTGCACCATTAGCAATCATTTGTTTTTTTTATTGAGAAACTTATGTCCTTAGTTTGGGTCATCACTGAAGCTGAAAAGAGTAGGAGGGAAAATGAGAAGTTGAGAAAAAAGTGATGAGGGACATCAAACCTAGACTTTAAATGATTGCAAAAGGCAGGAGAGACCGACTGAGGGACAAGGAGATGACAATTTTGAGATAGAAAAAAGTGAGTTGGTATCAAACAGAAGTTGATTTCAATTCAGTCAGGGTACAGAGAGTGGACAGAAGAGACCAACATTAAGGACTGTTACTGTTTGGACTTGGGTTAATGTTGAAGTAAAAAGTAGGTACCGTTGACCGTGCTGATCACTTGTTGCTTGTTTTATCTTCAGTTACGATGAGCACGTGCTTGTCTGGGACTCCCGGCAGATGAAACGGCCGCTGGCTGATACTCACGTCCAGGGAGGTGTGTGGAGGTTGAAATGGCACCCCACCCAGGAGCAACTGCTGCTAGCAGCATGTATGCACAATGGATACCACATTCTGGATTGCAAGGGGGCATTTGGTGAGTGTTCGGTGAGCTGCAAACACAAACTGGTGTTGGTATGACACTTCTCTGGGGCCCGCTTTTAGATCGAATGGGAGGTAAACCAGTATACGTTTTCATTGGTCTTGTCACCTTACGTCCTCTTTCTTTGAGGAAGCACTCCTTAATAGTGCTCCATTTATTAGTGAGTTGGGCATTTAAATAGGCTTCCATGTGACCCATGGATGAGTTTGTGTTAGCCTCTTCCTCGACAGAATTTTCTCATTAACTTTGTGTAGTTGTGGAAACCAACTTTTTTTTAAAAAAAAACTTTGTCTTTTAAAAATATTTTGTTTCCTTTTCTTGGGTCTCCCTGCCCTAGCATTGTCCTATCCTGGGCTGATGACTTTATCCAGACCTCCAGCATTGCTGCCCTAAAGCCGAGCAGAACTTCTTTCCTGGGATTGAAGTGCATGGTCTCTGATGTTGATGTTCCTATGGTAAAGGTGATGAGATTAGCTCCTCAATGGGTCAGAGATTATGCACTGTGACCTCTATTTTATAATTTTGAGTTTGGGAAACTTCATGTTCTTTTGACTGACTAATGGGCTCACAATGATAGGGCTCCACAAGATTACTGAATGCTTCCGTGGAAGGGAGAAAGTTTCATCCCGGTGTTTGATTGCCACCTTGTGGCAAGAAGTTTCAGTTCAGAAATTATTTTCTTGTTAGTGGCAGCAGTTGAACTTAAAAAAAACGTGGTGTTGACTCATCCTGGGCATTAATAATTAACAGAACTTTTGCCTCGCAAGAAAAGCCAAGGAACATGAACATATTTAGCTCAAGAACATTTTTATTGAACAAATGTAATAATTGAATGAATGCCACCAGTGTGAGAAAGATCATCAGGACACCCTTTCAGTTTTAGTCTGCTGTCTTTCCTTGGCTTCTTTGAGATTTAATCTTGCACGCACATTGATGTATGAGTTTTCGTATGTCTTTGCTTTTTCAGCTGCAAGTGTGGAAGAGTGCCCCATCCTTTATTCTTATATATTGCACAACTCACTAGCTTATGGGGCAGACTGGTCAAGACTACCTCTTGATGCTCAACTTGCTGCAGACTCTCAACCGCTGTCCTCGTCTGCGACAGAATCCCAGAAGAGAGGGGAATGTGAAGAGGGAGCAAAGAAATTGGAGACTGAGTTCCAGGACTTGAAGATCCAGTACGAGTCTCCTACGGGTATCTTTGATATGGTGATGGAAGGGGAGGCAGAAGATTTTTCTGGGCCTGACTTTGCTGATGGGTCGCAAGCCAGTGGTACATCTGAGGGAGCAGATATGCACACTGTAGATGGTGCAGAGCAGCCCAAGCACGAAGCTTGCAGTAATCAGGAAAGAACTGGCGCTAGCCTTTTGGCAACTTGCTCTTTCTATGACCACATTTTACACGTCTGGAAATGGGAAAGAAACAGCACTGCATCTTCCAGATGAGTCTGATTTGTAAAAAATTTTGTAATCCTTACCATTTATAACGTTAAATAAAGCAGTATCTTGGATAAAACTTATGTGTACAAGAAAATAGAGCGAATGGTCAGAGGTGTTTTTTTTTTTTGCCTTTTACTGTTCTGTAGATGTACATTGAAAGTATCTGAGATATTGGTGCTGGAATATAGAGATGTCTAATGCCAAGAATACCTAATACTTCTAAAACACAGATACCTCAAGTAGCTACAGAGTATCACTGCCCTGATGATGTCCCTTAAACCCAAGATCAGAAGAAATGCAATAACAATTTATTGCCTCACTGACCAACGGCATTACAAATTCTGTTGTAATGAGAAGGGAACATTTTATTGAATGAACCTTGGCTGGATTTAAATGTCAGAAGCAAAGATACAAGGCCAATGTGCCAAAGGTTCCCAAAGGTTCTGGAGAAGGAATAATGTGCTTTAAATAGCTCTGAACAAAGCATGCAGTATTTGTCCTTTCATTCTCACTTCCTTATAGGAAGTCCTTGTTTGTAAAGGATTTTTGAAGTCAACTTACAAAGTATATTGTGTCATGATTTACATAACTGAAGACCTGCTGTGAAATCCCAATCAGTTTCTTGCTGTATTTTGTCATCCACATTTAACTTTATTGCATGAGGATTGTCTGCTAATAGATCAAATCTATAGGTCTGCTAATGTTTGGTTGAGTTTCTAAATGTTTATTCAGCTATTTTTCAGGTGACAGTCCACCCCCCCCCCCACCCCTCAACGTAAAACACTCCTCGAAACTGCAGCTGTTATTCATTATGCCAAGTGCCTTTCAACCATCATTAGGAAGTGTTCTTAAAATGTTCAAAACTAGAAATAATAAAATGAGGTAATTACACAATCATGTGATTTATAGGATATCATGGCAAGAGAATATGTAAAACATGGTGAAAATCATTAACATACTCAATTTTTTGATTGAGAACAAGTTTTGACTTTATTTTTTTAATGAAAAATGTTTTACAATCCAGGAAGGAGGACAAGGAAACAAATGTTAGGTTCACTTCCTCAATGTTCAAGACATATGGGGGAAGAGGGTCCATTTCATCCTGGAGCCCCACCATTTAACGTACGTAGTTCTTTGGATACAGTTGGAAAAGTTTGCCCTCCTGCGTTGATTCAAAGCCATACTTTTCCAGATTATTCATATCAAAGGTTGCTTCTCGAATGTCCTTTTCTATCTGTGGGGCGACGAATTCTTCGAAAAGCTTCTTGGCCGTCAGCGGTTCCTCTGTTCCTTTTGGTGCTTTGTAAGAAACGTAGGGCTTCAGTTTGAAGCCTTTCAAATCTGGAACCACAAACTCCGGTACCATACTTGGGACTTTAATAAATTTGCGGCTGGAAGTGATATATCCCGCTAATTTTGTCCCACGGGATTTGTAAAAACTGCGACACCCGCGCTTGCTTGTGAATTCTGCCGTACGATCAGCTCCTCTGATCAAACCCCGAGCAAGATTTGTGACGACTCCCATGCTGTTAGCACCTGAATAAGAATCCGAAAAGGAAGGGATCATTTGAAAAACTACCACAAGAACCCGGCTTTTCATATGCACACACACACACACACATATAATATATATATATAAAAAAATTGGTCACTCAATCCACGATGGTTTGTGGGACACTGCTCTGCACAATCGGCTGCTGTGTTTCGCCCACGAAATATAGTCAATCCACTTCATAGAGTGTGAAGTGCTTTGAGACGTCTCGAAAACACACACACACAGACCCTCACCCCACCACACACAAACACACACACAGACCCTCACCCCCCCACCCACACACACACACACAGACCCTCACCCCACCACACACACAGACCCTCACCCCCCCCACCCACACACACACACAGACCCTCACCCCCCCCCCACCCACACACACACACAGACCCTCACCCCCCCCCACCCACACACACACACAGACCCTCACCCCACCACACACAAACACACACACAGACCCTCACCCCCCCACCCACACACACACTGACCCTCACCCCACCACACACTGACCCTCACCCCCCCACACACACACACAGACCCTCACCCCACCCACACACACACACAGACCCTCACCCCCCCCCACCCACACACACACACAGACCCTCACCCCACCACACACAAACACACACACAGACCCTCACCCCCCCACCCACACACACACACACACAGACCCTCACCCCACCACACACAGACCCTCACCCCCCCCCCACCCACACACACACACAGACCCTCACCCCCCCCCACCCACACACACACACAGACCCTCACCCCCCCACCCACACACACACACAGACCCTCACCCCCCCCACACACACACACTGACCCTCACCCCCCCCCCCCACACCCACACTGACCCTCACCCCCCCACACACACACTGACCCTCACCCCCCCACACACACACTGAGCCTCACCCCCCCCCCCCCACCCACACACACACAGACCCTCACCCCCCCACCCACCCACACACACACAGACCCTCACCCCCCCCCCACCCACACACACACAGACCCTCACCCCCCCACACACACACAGACCCTCACCCCCCACCCACACACACACACACACACTGACCCTCACCCCCACCCACCCACACACACACACAGACCTTCACCCCCCCCCACACCCCCACACACTGACCCTCACCCCCCCACACACACACACAGACCCTCACCCCCACACACACACACACACTGACCCCCTCTCCCCAGGCCGCGGCTGTGGCTGGTGTGGCCGCACCTACGCCTCAAGCCGCGCTCTGATTGGGTCCCGGAGCCGAGTCGGCGCCGACGGGGCGGCCCTATCAGGAGGCGGCTCACTGGCGGCACAACAACAGGGCTGTGTTGGGTCAGAGGGGGGGGAGAGGAGGGCCGAGCAACACCGACACCAGCACCGGCACCGGCGGGGGAGCGGCTCGAGCCACTGCAGCCATGGAGCCCGGGAACCCCGAGTATGACCCAGGTAGGGAGTCAGAGCTCACACTGGACATTGCCCCCCCTCCCCCTCCCCCCCCGGGCTGGCGACTGGGCAGCGGCCTGGTCTGGTCTGGTCTGGCCTGGCCTGGTCTGGTCTGGTCACTCGCCTCTCTCCCTGTCTGACTGTGCGTGAAGTGGATGGGGGGGTGGGAGGGTGTCTGAGGGTGGGTGAGAGTGTGTGTGAGTGGGTGGGTGTGTGGGTGAGTGAGTGTGTGGGTGAGTGTGTGTGTGGGTGGTGAGTGTGTGGGTGAGTGTGTGGGTGAGTGTGTGGGTGAGTGTGTGGGTGAGTGTGTGGGTGAGTGAGTGGTGAGTGTGAGGGTGTGGGTGAGTGTGTGGGTGAGTGTGTGGGTGAGTGTGTGGGTGAGTGAGTGTGTGTGGGTGGGTGTGTGGGTGGGTGAGTGGATGAGTGGGTGTGTGGATGAGTGGGTGTGTGGGTGAGTGTGTGGGTGAGTGTGTGGGTGAGTGTGTGGGTGAGTGAGTGTGTGGGTGAGTGTGTGGGTGAGTGAGTGAGTGTGTGGGTGGGTGTGTGGGTGAGTGAGTGTGTGGGCGGGTGAGTGGATGAGTGGGTGTGTGGATGAGTGAGTGAGTGGGTGAGTGTGTGGGTGAGTGTATGGGTGAGTGTGTGGGTGGGTGTGTGGGTGAGTGTGTGGGTGGGTGAGTGGGTGGGTGAGTGGGTGGATGGGTGTGTGTGTTGGCGGGCGGATGAGTGTGTGGGTGAGTGAGTGTGTGTGGGTGAGTGAGTGAGTGAGTGGGTGGGTGGATGAGTGAGTATGTGGGTGGGTGTGTGGATGGGTGAGTGGGTGGGTGGGTGGGTGGGTGAGTGCGCGTGAGTGGGTGGGTGTGTGAGTGGGTGAGTGCCTGAGGTTGGGTGAGGTTGTGGATGAGTGTGTGGGTGTGTGTGGGTGAGAGGTTGCCGGGTGCTAATGGCAGGTATATGCTGCAGTGGACCTGCTGTGAGCACCTGCCTCCAGGAATCGACCGACCGCAACCATCTCAAATGCAATTATTATTATTATTATTATTCCTTAAGAATGCACTAACATTGACCGGGCTTTGCTGCTGGTGTTTTGCTTCCACCTGTCTCAGTGGGGAGGCTTTATCTTGACATCTACCTCACCACTCCCCTCCCTGCCCAATAACATTTCCACTCCTAACGCTTGTTGCCTGTCGACGGGAGTGTGTTTGGTGGTGGTGGGGGAGTGGGGGGGAATGCTTCCACTTTTAGGTTTCGTTATGAATCAAAGGTTCAAAGATCCACTCGTTTGGATTTCCGCATCTGATTGGTTTGTTGACTGCAGCAGGCCCAGGCCCACCCAGCCTGGCTCTTCGGTGGTGGTTGGAGGAGCAAACAGTTGAGTCACCGGAGGGAGGATTCAACTCACTTGCCTTGAGTTTATCCTAAAACGAATAGGTGTGGTGCGCCAAGCTGGGCAAGCAGCAGGAAGCTTGCCAGTGTTCGCAGCGGAAGCGTGTGTGCTTTGAGCTGGTCGAACTCCAGCAATGTCCCAGTGCGCGTTCTCGAGTTCCCAAGCCTTGGCTGTTGCCAACTTTTCATAAAACCTGTTGCAATTACGTAGAATATACAGCGCAGGCACGGGCCATTTGGCCCAACTGGTCTGTACGGGTGTTTATGCTCCACACCACAGGAGCCGCCTCCTGCCCTTTCTCAACTTCTATTCCTTTCTCCCTCATGTACTTATCTAACTTCCCCTTAAATGCATCTATGCTATTCGTCTCAACTACTCCTTGTGGTAGCAAGTTCCACATTCCCACTGCTCTCTGGGCAAAAAAGATTCTTCCGAGCCTGTTCCACCATTCTATTAGATCGTGGCTGATCAATACCTCAAGTCCAATTACCCTCCTTGCCCCATATCTCTTGATACCCTGACCTATCAAAAATGTATCCACCTCAGTCTTGAAAATTTGAATGGATCCACATTTTTTTTTGGGGGGGGGGGAGAGTTTTAGATTTTCACTACCCTTGTGTGAAAAATGCTTTCTGATTTCACTCCTAAATGGCTTAGCTCTAATTTTAAGATTATGCCCCTCTGTTCTGGATTCCTCCACCAGAGGAAATAGTGTCTCTGTGGCTACCCTGTTGAATCCCTTTATTATTTTGAAAGGGTCAATCAGATAATCATAAATAATAATCCTTGCATTTGATAGAGCGCTTTTCACGTCTTCTAGATCACCCCTCAACCTCCTAAACTCAAGGGAATAGAGACCAAGTTACATAATCCTTTGTGTATGAGATCTTACAACTGATAATACTGATTTTTGTGGTGAATCTCGATATGCAGCTTCTCTCACCTAATAACCCAGCTACTATCTGGAACTCGCTCTGTGTGGAGTTGTGTAAAATAATTTCACAACTATGGTTGTGTTTCGCTTCTATGGTGGCGTTCCGAATCACTGAACATGGTGTCCTGGAAAAACATATATGCAGTACCTTTAGCTGTCATCACTTTGCACCCTTAAACGTTTCATGGCAAGAGACCACAAAAAAATCTTGGCTGAATTGAAGGACCAAAAATGAATTAGGTTTCAAGTGCACGATTGAAGGAATTTGTACTGGTGCACAACTGCTGAGACAACTTTCTGGGTCATTTGTACAACTAAACAATTTGCAATGCAGCAGCACAAGTGTGAGATGAAACATTGATTTGGCTTTACTCAAAAATGATCACAAAGAACTTTTAAGGGAACTTTTAAATAACAACAACAACAATTTGCACTTATATAGCACCCTCCATGGAGGGTAGCGTTTCAGAGCGCTTAACAGTGGCGGAGCCCGACTTCGGGGAGTGGGGAAGTGGCCATAAGTACGGTTGAACAGGAAAACTTTCAGGCAGGACATGAGAGAGGAGAGAGAAGGGGCAAGGCGGTGGGATTGAGGGAGAGTGTTCCAGAGTTTTGGGGCGTAGTGGCTGAAAGCACGACCTCCGATGGCGGGGCGGAGGATTCGAGGGACGAGCAAGAGGCCAGTGCCAGTCGAGCGGAGGCGCTGGGTGGTTGAGCGGAGAGGTAGGGAGGTGCCAGGGAGTGAATGGATTTGAACACCAGAGTGAGGATCTTGAAGTCGATCTGTTCGGTGATGGGGAGCCAGTGGAGCCTGGCGAGAACTGATGAGATGTGGTGAGGAGCACGAGAGCCTTTTTAAGTATTATTAAAGAGTCTCTTGCTCCTTTTTTTAAAAAAAAGTAACAACAACAACTTGCATTTATATGCGCCTCTCATGCAGAGTAGAGTCTCAGAGCACGTAAACACCAATCAGTGGAGCCTAGTATCTTGTTTGTATAACTGCATTCAGTTTAGTGAGGGGGACGTATAAATCTGGCTTTCCATATGAATTGTTCTACTGCAGTAAGCAATGCGTATTACTTCTACCAGAATCAACACTAGACCGGCTATTATTGCTGCGAATTAGGGTTCCTAATTAATGCTAGGTAAACTGAGGTCTGTGGCGTAAAGAAATTCGTCTAAGGTTTCACCTCACCCAGGAATTGAATCCAGGTCCTCTTGCTTGTGGGGTGAGCGCGCTAACCACTATGCTACAGTACTCCACGTGTTATTCCTTGCTTGGTCAATCTAAGACGAGCATTGGATCATTTAATTCAGTTATTGGTCAAAAGGAACGCTGTATGTTCATTCTCCAATTTTTATGCTTGTTTTACAGAAACGTTAAAGGACCCAGATGCCTGCGTATCCTCCGAGGTGATTCTTCTGTGTGTGTCTATAGTAATCCTTGCCTTAAACTATAGGGTTATATGCAGGGGTTATAAAAGCGTACAATTTCTTGGGTTTGGCTTTGGAATATTGACTATGCTGCTGGAGCCAAAGTTTTGCCCACTGGCAGAGGAACGGTTGCTGTGACAATTAGTATGTCGAGAACGGACGCGAAAAGCTATATTGTTTATATTTTTTAAAAAAGCAATAACTTTGTAGAGTTTTGGTCTGTGCTTTTTTTCCCCCAAATGGGATAAAGCATTGTTATTTTGAATGTAGGGAATTGTTCCTCCTATTTAACTTCCACATAGAAATATCTGCCTTACACAAGAGGCATCTTACCCAAGATGATGGTAGATGGATTCAATTCACTGCCCCGCTCTCCAGTTTTATCTCCTGAAGATACTTATGCAAGCACTCTCCAATATCTCACTGAAGTGCATTATTCTTGTATGGGCTGAGTCAGTGAATGTTGGAGAGAGAGTTCAATCCAGCACTGTGCTTTTTAAACTGTGAACACTGATAGCGAGTGGCATTTCTGACTAAATGTTTTGCCTTTCTGGCTTCCCTCACCCTTCCCCCATGGCTGACATCCAACCGTAGAGACAAATGCAATATCCATCCATCACTAAGACAGAGGTTAGCTGTTAGCATACATCATTGATTGGTCTTGTGACCTTCCTCGTTTGATTGACTCCATACCACACAGTGCAGAGTGCATCGAACTGATATGAAGCTGTGTTTATTATTAGGCAGAGTGTTCATTTACGTGGCAATTATATAATGAGGGTTGGATCTACCGACGTAGGTAAACTGAACTTGTTTTTTTTAAAAGGAAGAGGATTTCATTAGATTTATTATTAACAGAATAGAGTTAGAAATGTGTCCCAATCAATTCGAGTTCTTGCCAGCTTTCTCGTTCACAGAGAAACTTAGTGGGGGATAGTAAAAGCATTTCACTTTTAAAATCTAAAATGAAAGTCACGAACAAGTCTCAGTTTTGTTCGAGTGCAACATTTGCTTCATGGTTTAATGACTGAATCTTTCTCGCACTGTCACAGGTGGGAATGCCAATTGCTGGAGACCTTCCTGCGTTAGTACGGCAATTTGTGGAAGAGAAAGTGCAGGCCACCATGGTATGTGAACTCAATCCCCAATTTGAGCTGGGGGAGGGAAGGAATTCAAATGCACAGCTTGGGATGAACGGCCTCTACTCTGCGGCTCCAGGTGAACTTTGTTCTCCATCCGGTTATGTTATTTTAGTGCTGTAACGAGGACTTCAGTAAGCACAATGCTGCACATGTGAAAGTTTTACAGACCTGCACTGCGGGCTTGTTTTCTGATCTCAGTTAAAGGTGGGCAATTGAAATTTCTGTACTACTTTCACTTCAATCTCCAATTGAAAAACAAGCAGTGGTTTAGTTATCGATTATGTCCTTAAAAGTTTTGTAAGTCTTCCCTACAGTATGAATCTGATCACCATTGTTGTGCTTGACTAGTTCCAAAGTATGCGGGAGACTGTGCGGTATTTTGTAGCAAATAAAATCATGTGGATGCCTGGGGGGTAGAGGTACCAGCTAGTCTTGTGCATTGTCTTTTATGATTTTTTTTAGTCCATTAAAAACTAACTAAACTCAATACATATAGTTTATTCCTTTCAACTAAGGTTTATCTTGTTGATGTACGCTCGTAGACTGAGGATGGGAGACCGAGAACTGAGAGATGCTCGTATCTAGGACCACTGATTCTAAGGGGGGAGAAATATGTAGCAGGCCTGAGTTTCCCAAACGGAGGGGGCGAGCAAGAAAATTAGTATGGAGCAGGGTCGGAGAGTTATGTAGATAGTGGAGAGGACGTTTAGGGATTTGTCGGCAAGAGTGAGGATGTTGCTTGATGTTTTGAAGACATTGGAACCTGGTGCAGACGGGTTGATGGGCACGCAAAGTTTAACGTGGGTTAAGATGCCAGGACAAGGAAAGCCAGGTCAGGGATATAGAAGCATGGAAATGTACAGCACAGAAGAAGGCCATTTGACCATTGTGTCCGTGCCGGCTCCCTCAAGAACAATCCTTTCAGTCCCAAGGGACATTAGGTCCCTTCACCAACAAAATGAAAATATTAGTAATTTCATTATCACATTTGTATTTATTTTGTCTGTATCCTTCACAAAGTCTTCTTATTTTTCAGTTCGCAGGAATGATGATCGGCACCTTTGTTGCTGTATTCCTCGTAGCAGTGATTGTCTTTTTCATCTACAGAAAATGTAAACAATCAAGTAAGTGTACTCCAGATTCGTGAGCTAGGCACATCAAGCTTTCATGGGGCAAGGTAGAGGAATTGCCGGTGATGTGCTTTTGCCAAGTAAGAAAGCCAATCGCTTGAAGGTTATTGTATCGTTCAGGACCTTTAAAATCAGTCTTTATTCACACAAATTCTTGGGAGTCTATTTTTGGCTCAGAAAAATTACTTTGACGGATCTTCAGAAATAAATTCCCCTCGTTTTGGAGATGGGTTCTTTTTAAGTCATTAAACTGTATTAATTTTATTCTTTACAGGAGTCGATTGTGGAGCAATGCACTGTTTTTGCAGGCAGGTGTACCATCTACCATCATGTGACAGAGCGCCTGTAGTAAAGCGATACGTATGCGTCTCTCCAACTTAAGGGGTGGGAATGTTAACCTAAGTTATGGCCAGGAAATAAACAGGCAGACCAATAAAGACCAGTGAAAAAGTGCTCTGTTATTGCCTAGCTGTTCTTTCTTCTTTATACAGTAGTAAGCTTCTAACGGGGCTGCAGTCTGCTCAGTTGATGTTGCTGAAGCTCTGCTGAATACTTCATAGTCTGCCTTGCTTTTTTTAAAAAAAGTTAGCAACCCTCATTTGGCTCCAAAGCAGTTTTGGGGGACAGTATTGTGTTAGAGAGGTGCTCATTCATTGACAATGTATTCAGATATTGGTCTCTGGGACTTACTCGCGTACAGTCAGAGCGCCATTTAGACAGGTCTCCTCGTCGTCTGTTGGCTGAATAGAAGATGGCTTGGCATGGCATGTCTGTCTGAACTGTAAGCCTTTCTATTTGGTTTAAAATGGGAAACGTTTTGCGTTTTGTGTTCTTTTGAGTTGAAGCGGTAATTTTATCCCTTCAAAGTACCAAATTAGTTGGTTTCTGCAAAGAATAGTTAACTAAGGATAATGTTTTTTNCTGCTAGTTTTCACTATAACGAGCCACGGTCTGTGTGTCTGATTGTGGCTATCTACACTGCTCTAGGTGTAACTCTGCTTCTGAGACATCTGCCCATGCCCTTTGGAAACGCAGTGTGGAGACTTTGATAAATAAATCTTTGCAGATCAAAACTTGTTCCAACAGTGCCACCGACTGGTGCTGTGGTTCAAAACAACAAAATAACAAGTGGTTTTGGAAGATGAAGAGGTTGAAAGAAAGAAAGCTGGAGTAGGCTTAATGTCCAGAAGCGGGAGATACTTGGAATTCTCAGATGCTATTTGAGCAGTTAGGCACTTGAAGTCGAGGGAGCTGAATTTAACACTAATCATGAAGCAGTGTTTATTGGGTCAGCCGAGTGTCTGATGTATAAGGAAACCCATCACCATGCTTAAGAGTATTCCAAACCACACTCAATTAGCTTTCTGAGCCTCCAGACATTGCCAGCTATCCCAGTAGCCTGGGATCGATAAGAAACTATACAATGGAACAGGAGGCTATATATATATATTTTTATTACTTTAATGTCCCAGTGCTTCAAGATGTCTGATCAGTTGTTAAATGCTAGCAGTGGATAGGACACTTGCGCTCGTTCAAATTAAAATGGAGCAATAAAAAATGACCCACTTTTCTTTGAAGTGTGAACTTAATAATTTTCCCCAGAATCAGGAGAACCTGTGCCAATATAATGGTGTCTGAAAGGAAATGCATAAATCTGAAGCTAATGAAACCATAAGCCAACTTCTAAGACACTATACCTGCAGGAGAGGGTATAACCCCTGTGAAAACAGTGCAGAGGTGTGCAGGGCCTATCATAATAGTTCTCCAATGGACATGGGCTGACTTCCACCTTTTACTTTTCGCCCATTCCCATTTAAATATTTTATTACTATTAACGATTTAGGAGTATTATCAATAAAATTAATCTGCCAGACTGCTCCTGTGGTCAGGGCCCGAGGGCCGGTTCAGACTTGTTGAGCAAGATTATTTAAAATGATTTCACAGAGGCTAAATTCTGACAAAGCCATAATCTTGAGAACAGTGGGGCGTAAAGGGTAGAATTTGCATGTAGGCCGAGTGCCTGCCAGCAAGGTGCAGGATGCATCCTGAATCCACTGGGAGACGAGGCTGAAATTAAAGCAGCTGGCACCAGTGCTGTGCATTTCTTTGCTAACCCGTTAGTACTTGGTGAAAGCACTGCTCAACAATTTTCTCCAGACTCTACACTTGCATGCTCCTGGGTGGCTAAGGACCGATTTCATCAGGCAGCCAGATGCCCAGAGGGTCACATCACCCGCATTAATGTTCAGGCGCTGATTTTAAACGGGTTTCCAGTGTCCAAATTGCGATGGTACAAGTGGCGTGCGTGTTTTACGGATGACTCGGAAAGAAATCAATTGTACGGTTGAATCAAATGTCTCAGTGTTTGTACATTCACTGATGGTGTTAAAACTTGCGGTGGGGGTAGGAGGAGTCAAGACAGTTATATTTCAGTACAGATGTCCTCCCCCACCCCTTGAACTGTCTTCTGTGTGCTCTCCGTTACTCTATCTAATTGTTTTTCCCAAGTGAGAGCTAGATTGCCAGTGGACTGTTCGACGGGTGAGGGGTTATCATCATTTCTTCTGTTCACTTGGCATCCAATGCGTGTTCCTCAAGCAGAGGCCGCTGTATACAGAACAGGACTTAATGGGCACTGTTCTCCTTCACCTGACCAGTACAGAGTGCTACAGATTACATCAACCGATCTTCAGTCCGCAGGAGGTTTATCAACTGAGGCGTTGGTGGAACAAGAAAGTGCTAAATGTCTAGAAAGCTACATTTTATTTGTATGATTTCCACTTGACTGGTTTATGCGGCTTTTTTTTTTATTTGGGGGTCTTGCTCGCTCTTAGTTTTTATTCCTTTGTTTCAGAGCAACAGCAGCAGGGGGTGACCAGGTATAGATTCCGAAAGAGAGACAAGGTGATGTTCTATGGAAGAAAGATCATGAGAAAGGTAATGCCTTCATCTATCAGAACGGTTTACGAGGGCACTGCATTAAATAGCTGTACCATTCCTAAATGTTGCATGGGAAAATACATTTGAAAACGGTGTGGAGTAGAAGTATTTCTGTGGCTCAGTCAATAGTACTCTCGCCGGCGAGTCAGAAGTCTTGTGGGTTTTAAGCCCCACATTGGGACTTTGAATTCACAGCCTTAAGTTGATACCTTTATGATGTTGAGGAGCACTGCTTTGTTGGAGATGTTAAAACAAGGACTCGTCAGCCTGTTCAGGAGGACTCTCGTGCCACAATTCTTCTAATAAAATTGGTCATTTGTTTCATGGGTGTGGGGATATTGCTGCGTGCAAATTGGCTGCTGTGTCGGCCTACAGGTACGCAGTCGCTGCACTTCATAGTAAAACCCTGTAAAGCGTTTCAAAACATTTTGACAATATGATAAGGCGCTATATTAAATGCAAGTATTGTTGTTAATAATAAATCTTTGCTAAAACAAAGCCATCTCAGCAATACCTTAAAGCATCCAGAAGGTGGTGTTTTGGTCTTGGGAATGAGTTTCAACTGAAAAGCTGGACAAATGTGGAGGTATTTTTAGGTATCGTCGTCCTTTGTTAAGCTCCAGTATCTGGGGAGTGATACGATGCCTCTTGTCAGTTTGCGTTCGTCAATGACAGGTCCACAATAACTTCAGGTGACTTCACAGACTTTTGCTTTATTTTTAACGTAGGAGAGGGAGGACAACGGTGTTTTTGGATTTGCCTTCAATAAAAATAAAGAACATGGAAAATAATTCAGATTTTTTTTAATATAAATGCGCATTGTTCGGCAATATTGCCAGCAGTGCACCGATTTCCAATTGAACTTATTTCCTTCAATTGCCAGAAGTGATTACGACCCACCAAATGCCAAGACAAATTACTACGTCACCATAAAATACAATATTTATAAATAATTGGAGAAAACAATTCATTCAAGATCCTTTGCACAAAAACCTGATTAAGCCAGCTATATGTACATGTAATCTTATTAAATGTGCAATGGACAGTACTTCGGAAGTGAGACGGGAAGTTTTGTGTCTCGTTTTCAGATTGATGAGAAAGCTTTTCTCACCTCAGTATTAATCAAAATCTGGCGCGAAAGGACCCTCTGAACTCAAGAAACCAAAGCAATTCTTTCTGCATGACGGATTTAACTCCTTCACTGCCTAGGTCAGTCCCGCTTATGAAATTTTATATTGAAGTCTTTTCAGACTTATTGAAGGGAGTTGCTCCCAGTGTCCTGGTCAACAATCCATCAGATACGGATGGTCGTTTACTTCACTTAATGGCTGTTTGTGGAACATTGCTTTGTGCAAAACAGCTGCCGCAGTTCACCTACTAAATACACTGTCACTACACTTTCTAGCAAGTCTTGTGAGTCACTTTGAGATGTCTTCCCAACTTGCTATGTTAAATGCAAGTATTATTATTTAATATTTATTAAAATATGCAGTGAGTTATTAGTGGTAGTTTTGGAATGCTTGTATTCACTTTACTAAGTTGTGTTCCCTCTCTTACCTGTCCACCACCCAACCCGCCTTGACACATTTCTTTTGTAAGTGCTGCTTGCTCAATAAAAGCGCACAGTGTTGCAGTAAATTAGTGGTGCTTTTCAAATTTTTGAGCCAGCTCTCTGGTGGTGATCTCGGTAGTCCAGTTCCTGTGCCAGGTGGGTCCACAGTACTCGAAGGGAGTGAGTGTATCAGACCAAACAAAAACTTTCAAAGCCAACGATTACGTTGCTGTTGTTATAATCCAAATTCCTTTCAACTGCAGGTGAAACTTTCAACCTCGTCCCTGGTAGGAAACAACGTGCCTCGCCAGAGATTGAGGAAGCGGCAGAAGGTGCTGAACCTGGCTAAGAGGTACACACAGTTTAAGTTGTGCCGGTCTAATTCTTCCGCTCTTGACCTATTTATTCTCCCTTCACCATCCTTTGGTTGAAACCAAGCCCCTGAAGGAGAGTGAATTGTGTTGGAGTGAGGGTGCCTGATTTCTCCTGAACCCCACACAATGTCAAGTGATTCCCCTCACCTCAGCACCATCCCTGACAGAATGGGTACCAGAAGATACTGTGTAGAAAGTTGAGGTACATCAAAGTTGTGGGGGTGGGTGGGGAAGGCTATCTGGTCTCCCAGATACAAGGAGATACCAAGTTTAATATTAAACATGATGATGAGATGATGACTGGGGAGAGTGAGAGTGTAGTGTAGGAGTAGATTGACTGCTGCTGAATTGGAACCTTCTAGCTGCTATGAAAGCAAATTCTATGACTCACACTAGTTAGCATTTCACTTTACAGATTGTCGCTGAGCACAGAAAGCACCATAGTCTCCTCACCCTGTACACATGCGCACCTTAAAAAAAAAAATGCTTCCTGGGTGGCATAATAGAGAAAATTAGCAATTGTTGGAAGACTCTCCCATGTAACCTTATGCAGCCATTTGCCCTTTGATGGACGTGGTTGATTACCAAAACGGACTGGGGTAGTTGCAAGTGACAATTAAACAATAGGCGGTGCACTTAAAATGAATCGTCAAGAGTGCAAGCCTCTGTTAGGAAGAATGAGAGTGAGAGAGATGCATTGTGCCTCTGTGACTCTCTCAGTGTGTAGGATATATAACATCGAAAGTAACGTTGAGAAGGAATGAGAAAGAAAATCCTAATTCAACAACCATTTTCACCTGCGTACGCTCAACATGAGTTCCTACTGCAGTAACAGCCAAAACACTGCTGAGTATTAATATTCATCTTCCAAAACTGTGCCCATTGTCGCTCACAAGTGCATTATTAATGTAACTTGAACAATGTTTTGGTAGAATTCTCCGTCTTAAGAAAGAACCTCCGACCCTGCAGCCCAAAGAACCGCCGCCTTCTCTCCTGGAGGCGGATTTGACTGAATTTGACGTGAAAAATTCCCACTTGCCCTCCGAGGTCCTCTACATGCTGAAGAACGTCAGGTAAGCCTTGCCCCAGGAGGGAGCAGTGAATAACCTTGCCCAGTGCCTGCTGCGTTGTAAAACCTGGAGCAGTGGTGGGATGTGTCCGACAGTGGTTTGTGTAACATGCAAGGGGAGGATGGGATGGATCTCTTGTGGCTGCTGAATCCTATTGTACATCTTTTTGTATACACCATGGTTTACGTGTCAATGTGAAGAGGTTTAAAATGAGCAGATCTTTTTTGTATCTAACCTCGGCCCGCTTGAGGAAGAAGCCGAATGTGTGTGTGTGTGTGTATTAGAGTGGATCCAGTAACCCAGAAAGGTTCATACCGCACTGCTCGGCCACCGGGAAGAAGGGGCAGGTTAGTAGGGTGAGAACAAGGGTGAGCAAGAGACGGATATTGAAAGAACAATGGCGGTATATGCAGACACTCTTCAGGGCATTTAAAAAAGAATTGGATAAGCAAATGCTGAGAAAGGGTGTTAGTGGGTAAAAAGCAGGGGCAAACACTGACCACGGAATGGCATCCTACTGTGTCATTCCTTCCCGTAGCATGGTGACAGAGTTGTGTAAGGGGGAGAGTGAGTGTGTGTGTGTGCCGTGAGTGATGTTTCGATCAGACAGTTGCACAAAGCCTCTCATTTGCTTCATCATTCTTTTCCTTACCCGTTCCGGTTTGATGTGATCTGCCTGGGTCATGAGATTTGCTGTCGTGGACCCGATATCAAGATCAAATTTGATGGGTTTCAGTGGCTTAAATATTTATGAAGAAATGAAGCTTTATGAGGCTTCATTCGGAAGGGCAGAAGCCAACTGTTGAGCTGCGTCATTGATTTACTGCGCAGAGTGAACTGGGATTAGTTTCCTTCTGGCTGCAGCTGCTTTGTAATACAGTAATAAAATACGTTTGCCGATATTTAGCAGTTAAGCATTTGTCCGGAAGCCTGCAATAACATGGGAGGCGAGCTCATGTAATTTATGATAAAATTACATTACTCAAAAGAATTTTGCTGCAGCTATAGACACAGCATTGATCTCTTTCTGTCAATTTTTATAGTGTGTTATGGGTCCTACAGAACTCTGAATCGCTTCTGTAACATTTTATCATTTAAAATGTTCCCACTGTGGCATTTTACTGAATCTAGAATCTTTTAAATTCTCTCGGCACAAATCTGGACGCCTGTTTCATTGCTTCTCTGTTTCGATGCTTCTTGCTCTCTCGTTCTGGCTTTGTCTGTCAGACTCACGGCTTTTATTAAACTTAATTGACAGCTGAAACCAGAGCACCTTTAAGAAGCTTGGCATCTAATGATCATCCCAGTCAAAATGAATGAATTAATAAGTTTTTTAAATTAGGCTGATCAGTATGCCCGAAGCATTCAGTCTAGACAATCTTAAACTGTGGATTAACTCTTGGCTTGCTAAGTATAGATTTCAAACGACAGTTATTACAGCCCTTACCATCTCCAAAGAAGGGAATAATGGGGTATAGATAAAGGGTTTAACACCTGTTTTGACTAATTGGGTTGAATGGCTTGTCTGTATCAATCTATTTAATTCTACCCTTTGCTCCTTTCCCCTTTCCTGGCGCTCCAGACACCAGGTCAAAGTCCTCACTGCCTCTTTCAGACCAGCCATTACATTTCAAATGATTTTTATGGACATCCAAATACCCAAACTTTGCCCATCTCAATCACTGTGTCTGAACTCATTGTCGATGTTCTACTTAGTTTTGAGTCTGTCACCAGCATTGAATGGTCGCATACTAATTTAAGGAGGGAGTTTCAGTCGACACCTCTCTTCTGTTTTCTTCACCCTTCGATGCCTGCAATTGGTTTTGAATTGTCCTCTCACTGATTTAATGCTTCAATAGGTAATGTCAATATCTGAGATCCAATGCTTGGTAAAGCTATCATGATTGCGTTGAACATTTGGGCTTGATATTGGTTTGAGTGTAAAGTATTCTTTTAAGATGGGAGCTGGCTTCCAGCTTGTGCTGTAATTACCTGCGAAGCTTGCTGCGAAAAACCGCAGCGTTGAATTTGTTAATCCTTTATTCTTTCCAGAGTATTGGGACATTTTGAGAAACCGCTGTTCCTGGAACTGTGCAAATACATGTTCTTTGTCCAGTTACATGAGGGGGAGTACGTCTTCCGACCGGGTGAGATCGACGACAGCATCTACGTGGTGCAGGAAGGGAAGCTGGAGCTGTGCATTAACGAGAATGTAAGATTGCCTTTCCCTCCTGTCCTGCTGCTCAGGCTTAGCCACTTCAGCTCATTTCAACTTTGTGTGTTGCCACTTTTAAAATTTTTTTAAAAAATGACCTCCGGAACTTTGCAGCCCTTACCTCGCCTGTCACCTTCAACCTTGCCAAGTCTCACTGGCTCCCTGTTTTGTGTTGCATTGAATTTAAGATCCTTCTGCGCTTTGACACTCCTGCCTGGGTGACTCATTCTTTGACTTTTCATACAGTCAAAGGAAGCAGCTAATCTCCCACTTGTTGTCTTATTCTCATGGCAGGATTGGAAACTCATCCTGAACTCAAACTAACTACCTAGTATGCCATGGTCAGAACATTGGCCCTCTCCTATACATGCACACAGCACACAGCAACCTTTTTGGAATGCTTCTGGTTCAGTGCAAATTTGCTTAGAGGTCTACTATGGACCTACGTTGGAAGTACAGCTTCTGACACTGGCTTGCCAGCTTCCCACGCTAACAAATGTCGGACTTCTGCGTTGTGCAGAAGTGACTTTATTAATAACTTGGTGACCCAGAGATCTGCTTTGGCACTTCCCTGGAGCTTGAAATATTGGACCCAGAGTACTGCCGTGTAACAGGGTCACCCTTGTGCTGAGCCACTAAGGATGAAAGATGTATTGTTGAGTTCTGGAAAAGATATGTTTAATATTCTGATGGTTGTTGTCTTCTAATGGGGTTTATATGGGCGCACTCACTGTTCTGTGCTTGATCAGGATGGGACTGAGGTGGTGGTGAAGGAAGTGCTTCCAGGGGACAGTGTGCACAGTCTGCTCAGTATCGTGGATGTCATCACTGTGAGTATACTCTGGACTGTGTGAAGAAGAACTTTTTATTTAGTACTAGAATTTCTGGGTCAAATCAGCTTCCGTGTCTACTTACATAAAAGTTGGTTTAATCTTATCGTTTAGCGTACCATATTCAGCAGTTATTTTCTAGAAGTGTGGTTCATACACAGTCACGACCTCATAGGGTACCCTGTGAGCGCTTTGGGATGTCCTCCTGACATGGAAGGCTCTGTACCCAAAAAAAAAAGTAAGGATTATTAAGCGAGTTGCAGTGAATTCAGTCTGCAATCGTTATCATCCTATTTTACCAGGAATAATCAATTTTGGGCTATCGCAAACCTCGATAAGTGCTTGCGACACTTGGACAAAGGGAACTAGCTCCCGACGTGGATGTATATTGGTGGTGCTCCACGAATTTTGAACGAGCTGCATCACCAAATCTGCCCTATTAGTAATAGCTGTTGCTCTCCATCTGCTTATTCTGTTGGGAATGGAATCGTTCATGCTTGTAAACCGCTCTGCAGCCAATCGACCAGATGAGTTCAACGATGCATCTTGCACACCTGTACATTTGTGTTGTTAAATTGAAGTGTTTGCCCTTGCATTTTTTTGCAGAGCTATTCCTTCCCTGCCTAGCTATTGACAGAATTTTAATTTTGCTTTTGGATTTTAACCCTTGATTCCTGTTGGGACCGACCAAGAAATTTCCAGATCTTGCTGTGTAATGAGTTGACATGTTATTGATCTCCACGATGAAGTCGTAAACCCACAGGACCTCATTGGTCAAGTGCAGGAGTTAATAATCTACAATGTGTACAATTTCTGTGTGAAAATCAATGTTGAACTCTCCAACCGTGTGATGCGAAGCTGATCTTCCCATTGCGTTGAAAGGTTTCCGTGCAGGATTTAATTATCTGATATCGCAGTCGCTTTGATAAGAGAAGCTTTGGTTTTGGTTGTGTTATCACTGTATGAGCACCTTTAAGAAGTGGGCACTAACTCATTCAAGGAGATAATTACATTCAGATGGTGTACTTTGTTCACCTTTATCAGATTGCACAGCTTAATTTAACTCTTGCGTCCACGGCTCCTCTGTTTGCAGTTCCTTGGGAATGCTTTTCATTTGGGTGGCCTTTCCTTGTTCTCCTGGAGGCACCGACTCATGCTGGCGTACAGTTCCTCTGACATCCTCCTGTACGTTTCCCCATTTTTAGTGTGTGAGCTGAGCAATATCATCTGTGCTTCCTCGTGGTCTTTCCAAGAATGGGGTCGTTTGCAATTTGTCTGTACTGTCAACAAAAGTGACAGCACACAGGAGCAGAACCTCACTGGACAGGCAGTTGTATGGCTGGAAGCAGTGATTAGCTGCTGCAATGACGCACAGATGTCTTGGTCACTTTTTACAGCCTCACTTGTGAAAGCTCGGCCGTAAATAGATGCCCTTATTCATTCCTACTTCCTACATTGATATTGTACCGGCAAAGTGTGGAGGCAGAAGAATGAGCTGATCAATATTGTTAGGTTGGGAACTGAAAGGGTTATTTGGTGTGGAGATAGATGTAGCTAAATAATTCTTTTGGGAAGTTGGATAGATCGCTGTTTGGTGCTGCTTGATACTTTGGAGCTTGCAAAGTAAATTTTTTTTTGTGTAACTTTTTCTGTGGTGTTTTCTAGGGTTACCCAGCTCCCTATAAAACAGTTTCTGCGCGGGCTGCAGGACCGACCACTGTTCTCCGCTTGCCAGCCAGTGCTTTTCAATCCGTCTTCCACAAATACCCCGAGACCCTGGTCCGAGTAGTTCAGGTAAGCGTGTCCAATGCCAGGAGCCAACCCGAAGCTTCTGAATTTGATTCACAGCCACGCACGTGCGATTGAGGCCCTGGAACTGGGACGCTGCACTTTGTGACGGGCGCTAAGTAAAGGCAAGTTGTTGCTGTTGGAGCTACCCGTCAGTCCACTTTGCTTCTTGTGGTCGAGTGAATGTTACAGTGAGTGGAGTTTGTGTGTGGAAATGAATCCTCCATTCTTTGTGACTTGATGTTTTCCATTTTTTTTATAAAGTACCTTAGCTAATACTACAATATTTAATGATATAATACTGTAGTATCTGGTATCAAAGAGCTCTAAATGAAGAAATACCTGGACACTCACAAAAAAGTTTAAACCAATTTGTTCATGTCGAGTCTTCGCTTCAAACCGGACACCTAGCTGATCAAAATCATAAGTGTTCCTTTTTTCCCAGATAATTATGGTGCGCTTGCAGAGAGTGACCTTCCTGGCTTTGCACAACTACCTGGGCCTGACCACGGAACTGTTCAATTCGGTATGTGGTTAAAACAGAAAATAAAACAAACTACATGTGACATCCAGTGATTTGAAAATCACAGTTTCATTGAGGGCCCCCTTTGAGGTACAATCTCAAACATAGCTGGCATGAAATGGTCAACAGTGATATTAATAATTAGATCCAATAGTTCCTTAAAATTGCAGTGTAAAATGGAATTACATGCTTGCCAGTTTGTCACCGTTCAAGTCAGATGACAGAAAAAGAACTGAACCAACCCAGAACCAATTCTTCGCTTCATCTCAAATAATGATTGCTACAAAGGTTAATGTAGGGGATTGGAAAATGGGTCTCCAGTCTCTGAAGTGTGATCCTGGGCTGATTTCTCTCCTTGGTTCCGCTGAAGACACTCAGTGAGATTTTGTGCCAAGCGAGCAGTCGTATCAGGCCAGTGTGTTAGCAACATCTCACGACGACGTGTGGATCAATGTGAACAAACCTGCTTTAGAGCAGATCAGGTTGTTCATTCAGCTGAGCAAAGACATTGGACCCAACACTGCGTTGGTCTCGATGCCCAAGATAGCATTGACCAAACTGTTGGTTGTGTTGCCTCGTGATTACCAAATTTTAGAATGTAATCTATTACTTTAAAAAAAAACATTTCTTACAGTGAGGCACACAGTACAGGTTTCGCAAGCAGCTCAACAGTCTGTCAATACTAGCCTCTGAAGGCCGCTATAAACAAAGCTAATTGCATTCGACAATTGTTTTTTACGCAGGAAAGCCAGGCCATTCCCTTAGTGTCCCTGTCCAGCATCGCAGCAACAAGCCCCAGCAGAACAGTGAAGAGACAGCATTCAGTCCCGGGCAGTGACGAGGATCACTGGGAGAAGACGGGCAGATGTGGTGATGTTCCAGCACGCGCTGTGGAGACCGGTAAAAATCCGTTCTTTTTTTAATTTTCATTTTCGATTAGAGATTCATCGAAATGATTGTAAAACGTTGCAGCACGTTAATCTCGAAAGATATGGAAATCGTCGCAGTTTCACTGTCTTGTTTCTTCAATGAGTCATTATTTTCTACGTTATTTTCAAACCCTGTACTGTATAACTCAAATATATGCTGCTGAAGATTTCAACCAAGTATTGTGTATAAATGATCAAGAGTTGAGTGGTAGGTTGGAGCTGAAGAGTGATGCTCCACATGTAAATCTCAAATGCCTCTGCAGAGGTCAGGCATCACTGCGATCACTGCACGAGCAAAACTAAATGCAGAGTGACCTGGGTTGTCTTTCGGTTGGTCATGATCAGGAAGGCATTAGCACCGTCTGGGTAGCAGGGATTGCCCTCTGGACTGGGGTTGCATCATGTGAGATCAAGAAAGAGTCCCTTTGAAAAACATGGATTATCCTCATGAGTGTCCAGTCCTAGAAATGAGGTTTCATTTTGTAATGGCGTGTGGCTGGTGTGTGTGTGTGTGTGTGTGTGTGTGTGTCACTGTGGCTGAGAGATAATGTGTTAAATTCAGAAAGGGGTGTTTGAAGTCTGATCACGGATACATCAAGGGATTGAACCGAGTCTTAGACCTTATCTTTGAGCCGCCAGCTCCCATCACCTTTTTCCGAAACAAATCGAATTTCATTAATGAGATTGTTAAAGGAACACTATTTAACAATACCTTTTGACTTGCCTTTTTTGTTTTTGCAAACCTGCTTTAAGGTTGGTATTTTTAGTACATTGTAGGCGCTCCCTTGTTGCATTATTCTTTTTAAACCATACTCCCAAAGTTCTATTTTGGTAGCATAATGTATCAACGTCGTGGCTTTGGCTTGAATTGCACGACTCGACCACACACAAGCTCAGGCCCAACGTGTTTCTCAATGATTTTTCAAGTAAAGTATTCATGGGTCAAGCACTTTCACACCAAAAGCGCAGTGACAGCACAGAATTCCAGTCCTTTTGCTATTGAAACTGTGCTGTTTGATCAATTGCTGCTGAATATTTCCACGCTTTACTCTGGGTGATTTGCCTCATACCCTTTATGTAGTTTCAAAACTGGCACACCAATAATAATCATAATAATCCTTGCATTTGATATAGCGCTTTTCACGTCGGGAGGACGTCCCAAAGCGCTTCACAGAACACACTGTAAAGTGAATTGACTGTACATTTGTGGGCGAACGCGGTAGCCAATTGCACACAGCAATGTCCCACAAACAGTTGTAGATTGAAAATGACCGATTTATTTTTGTTTTGGAGGGATTGTTATTAGGTGTGTGGAGTAAGGAAATTTGCCCAAGGTTTCGCCCTGACCTGCCGGGAATTGAACTCAGGTCTCTCGCTTGCGAGTGCTCTAACCACTGAGCTACAGGACTCCAATACAAACCAGTGGGTTGCGATCCAGAGAATTTCAAGGACCTCAAAGCTGTCAGGTTGCTGAGCAGTGGCCGAGTTGCGTCAGTGTTGCACAGTTGTTTGTCAAAGGCTGTGATGACGGTGGATATTTTAAGTGTGTATTGATCAAAGGCAGAAATGGATTTAGGAAATGAGTTCCTGCTGTGGAAATATTCTGGCTTGATTTACGAGTAAGATTTAAGTTTGTCTATGAGAGTTATACTGTCCATTACTCTAAAAGCTGTATGAGTTGCAACTTTTTTGGTGAAGTGATTTAAGCACCGCTCTGCTTGGTGGGGGGGAATAGTATAATGGCAATTGCAAAATCAGAATGTAACTAGGACACTGGATTCTATCGCAGATATTGAGACTTTTAAAGGCCGTTTAGTAAAGAGCATCACAAGGGACTAGTTGTGAAAGAGAAAGCCTGTTGAGAAGGAAAGGGATATTTCTGGCCAGGGGGGGAGTCATTGTATCGTTGATTTCTGCTTCCCACAGTTTTTTATCACGCTCTTTGATGAAGGAATTAATTAAGCAGAGAAACTGGTATCAGCGAACTCAGCACAGACTGGGGAATCTAGGCTGGGACCTTCTGACCTGCCTGCGAATCGCTGGAACGCGTAGCGGTGTCACACAGTTCAGAAGATCCACGTTGGGACCTTGGAAACTTGCTGAGCCATCAGGAGATTCTGGCTGTCGAGTGTGTTCTACATTATGGTCATTTCTGACTGGTGTCATATGTTTTGTGATGATGGGAATTGTAGATGCATTCCACATAACTGGCTTTAATTTATTAATTTCAGACTCAAAGAGTGTTGCGATGGACATACCTGTCAGTCAAGGGAAAAGATATCGTTCAACCTCCATGCCTTTGGATGTCCCAGGTCAGTTAACAATATATAGAAGAACCTTATATAGGAGAACTTGATGATGTTGCAGGAAAAATCTTGCGGTGGCCTTGTAACCGCTGCTCTGCACTCTCTCATGTAGGGTGAAGTACACAGTGACATTTTATTAATCCTTAATAAAATATCTCCAATTGCCCCAGGCTCACTCAGGCTCAGTTGCTGAATGCATTGTTTGACTGCCCACAAACCTCTGGTTTGTTCCTTGATCTGTAGTGAGTGAGATGATCTCAGCTGTGGTTTGCAATGGGAGCACTGGAATCTGTCCCACCCTCTTCAGAGAAATTATTCAAGGTTCTACTTACCTGCTTTCTCTCCAGTGAAGTGCCCCTTGGTCTGGAGCTTAACAGTCCTGGAGAGAATTGTAGGTCAGAACCTATCTTCTCTGTCAACCAGAGATGTAAAACCTGGAGTAGCTTACGTGCAAAGGTCTGTGAGGAATTGGGTTTATTTTGCAGGAGGATCTCCCAGTGCCAAATCAGACCTAGAGATGGCCCTTGAACGAGCAAGAGTCAGTCTATCAACAGAAGAGCATTCTTCAGGTCCCGTTAAGGTAAATGAAAGGTTTCCCTTTCTTTCGCCCCCAAGTCCCAAGTGGAAATTTTGCTACTCATGGATTCTCCACCTTGTTGCCTGGCTGAGAATTGACAACATAGTTTGAAGTGGTGAACTCCTGCTCATATCCTTCTGGTTGGGAAGCTGTTGTACGACATTTAGGCATAACTTTTCATTCAGGTTTTATAATAATACTGGCATTTGATGTATTGTGTCTTCGAGACGTCTCAAAGTGCTTCACAGAATTTACTGTCAAGTGAATTGACTGTATTTCGTGGGCGAATTGGTCGAAAGCTCAAACAACAGAACGATCTTAACTCATTCTTTGGTTTCTTTCATTAGTCTTCACTGAAGAAGACGGTTACCATGATCGATCAGCCATCTGCGGTGTTCCATTACATCGAGGGGGAGGAGCGGTCAGGGGTAATCAGCAATCAGAAGCCAGTCCACATGATCTTAGAGGCTGCCAAGAAAGATCTCCTGACTTTGATGAAGCTGGACGTGAGTTCTGAGATATTTATTATAACAAAGTTTGTGCATTGGCTAGCCTTACAGCTACGACATACTGTGATGATTCCCAAATTGTCCTCAAATCTCATGTAGCCTGTTGGTTCCTTGAGGAATGCTTTCTCATCTATACAGACCAATGAGGAGGAATTCCACTTGAGGCTGGATTAATGCAGCATTTCAGAATTTGCCAAATTGTTAAATTCATTTTAAGCTTCTGGCGGTTTAGGAAAATAATTTGTAAGAAACTACCTTCAAAATTGAGGGGACAGACCCAGATACCTTTATTACCTGATGTTGTCTGGGCCAGCAGTAGGGTTGTTACAATTGGCCTCAGCAATCTGCGTCTATATAGAGGGGTGAATCAGCTTGAATTTTCACTCCTCAGTTAATTAGCAGCATCTTCACTGCCTCATGTGGAGTCGAGCAACACTTGATAAAGGCATTGCAACTCATGCCTTTAGTCCAAAAAATCACCAGGGGCTGTCTGATGTGAGCTGACACTGCGGTAATTGTTTGCCTCTTGATAATACATCATTTTGAAGACTTCTCGTTTTCTACACTATGAATCTTTTGAGGTGGGAGTTCAAACAGACGAGCTTCACCCAATTTCTAATTGGGCAGGCTCTATCGAAAATGCCCCTCGCCATCTTGTGTGGCGTTCCTCAGGGCTCTGTCCTTGGTCCCGTCCTCTTCAACATCTACATGCACCCTCTTGGTGACATCACCCGCAGACATGGGGTCAACTTCCAAATGTATGCAGATGACACCCAACTCTATCTCTCTGTCTCCACCCTTGACTCCAGACATCAAGTCGTGGATGAGAGCTAACTTTCTTCAGTTGACCATCAACAAGACCTAGGCTCTCCTCTCCAGAGGATACAGTTCAAGATCCTGGTCCTCACCTTCAAAGCCCTCCATGATCTTGCTCTCCCCTACCACTGTGACCTCCTAACCCCTTACTATCCTGCCTGCTACCTCCGCTTAGCGGGCTCCTGCCTCGCTCACCCCACCATTGACAGGCAGGCCTTCTGCCACTCTGCCCCCACCCTCTGGAACTCCATTCCGCATTCCCTCCACCTCACCCCCTCCCTTGCCTCCTTCAAGACCCATCTCAAAACCCTCCTCTTCAACCGTGCTTTAGATCACCCTGCTTCCCCGCCCCCCCACCCTCCCCGATCCCAACCCCCAGCTTGGGTCCGAAACTCTGACTGTCCAGCGCCTCCTGACTTGAAAGGCGCTCTTTACAAATGTAATTTTGTTATTGTTGTTGAAAACCTGACTTGACAACAAATCTAATTGAATCTTATTGACCTCGAACAAGTGATGTATTTCAGTTTAGGTTCTCCTTTGCTGGAGGTAATACTTCTGCTGAAAAACCCGCACTCTCCTGTGGGAAACTTGCAAGCAAACAGTTTCTGAGTGTGCTGTTTATTCATGCGAGGTCAACTCTGTTTACAGGACTTTTAAGCCAAAGAATTACAGGTCAATTGGAAAGTGAGACACAATTCACTCCCCGGTAAATCTGAGTGGTGTAAACCAAATGCACATCATTTTGGAAATGTCTGCCTCAAGTAATATCCTTCCACTTGCTAACCTTTTCAGAACAAGGCGGGCTGATTGCATTATACGACAAACATTTCCATGCCTTTCAGATCTGATTAGAATATTTGTAACTACATTGCAGTCCTTCCACCAATTTATCTAGGTCAGGAGCAAGCCTATATTCAAGAGAGATGTCACGTGAGTGGAAGGAACTGCGTGCTGCCTGCTGCCGTTTCACACAAATGCCTTACTCAGAAGCAATTTCTCTTTATTACTACTGTGTGAGAGTAAAAGTGCAGCCGTGTGTGTGTGTATCTAACACATTGGGTCTCTCTTCTATAAATCTTTTCACGCATCTATTGCTGTTTAACACGCAAACTTCAATTGGATCCCATAACTGCTTTGCCGTTACCTGCTCACTTTTAACATTGCTTTGAATGAACTTTTATGAATCCTGAGCCCTTGTTATTTTGATTCCTCTCATCTTCTAAAATAAATGTAGGTTAGTTTTGACATGGTTCACTATTTTGGCCTTGACCTTGTTATGCTTCTATCCCTTCTCGTAGGAATGTACTTAAAGTAGTCAGTTTATCTATTTCATACTTTATGCTCGCAGCTCTAAAGCCATGTATCTCTAAACCTTTTCTTTAATTCTGCACTGTTACACAGCAGTTTACAATCCCTCCACACCCTGGTATTGTCGATGTGAATCAGCAGATACGTTCTGTTTTGAAACCACAGACCAGTGTTTAAGTAAGCAAGACAAAATGTTTTTGTAAATAATTCATCGTCCTGTCAGATTAATTATATACTGGCTGGCAAGTGCTGTGTTACTCGCTGTGATCCACAGAGGAGCTTCCTTACCTTCTTCAAAATCAAGAGAGTTAGGAAATCTATCACTGACAGCGACTAGCATTAATTGTCTGAATGGCAAGATGTTTAGTAGATATTAGGACTGCAAGGTTGCAAACGGCACGGATGTGCATCAAGTACAATAGACTATTGGTATCCTCGCAACTGATTGATCACACTTTTCAAAACTGGCTAGGCCCAGCCAGCGTCTGATCTATCGAGCAATCTATCGCACTTGAGCAGAGAATGCTAAACTGATTTTCTTCCTCCCCACATGTCATTCAGTCCGTAGCACATCTGCTTCAGGAATAATGGCGAATCTTCTGGAAGCAGAATTTGTAGTGAAAGAAGCTTTCTGAGCGTTTAAGCCTCAGGTGTTTTTACACCAAGGATTGGGTTCTGAATCGTGACAAAGTGGTCTAGTTCACTGCAGACTCCGTAAACCTCGCACTTTTTATATTAAAAAAATACGCATCAGTCCAGCAACTTACTTGATGTGACGAGGAAATATTAAAATCGAAATGGCACTGAGATAAGCAGGAAATAAATATTCCTTATCGGTATTTGTTTTCTTCCTGCTCCCTCACCCTGTGTTTCTCAGGATCCAACGCTACTTGATGGTAGAGTGACCCTTCACCATGTTAAAGCTGGGACAGTTGTGGCAAAACAAGGTGACCAGGTAAATCCGGCATTCACTAAAAAAAAATATTTTCTGGGAGTAGGGGGGAAAGCGTTAACAACATCAACAACAAATTATATTTGTACGGTGCCTTTCTCGTCAGGAGGACGTCCCAAGATGCTGGACAGTCAAGGACGAATTGTCCTTAAAAAGTAGAACAATCCATAACGCTGCAATGTAACAACCAAAATGTATGGCCAACAATCCCCCAGATAAAAATGGTCATAACACGACATAAATATTTTGAGATTAGCTCCGGGATATCGTCAGCTTTTTTGTTTGATCGTGATCCTAATGAAATCCTTCGCAGCTGTTCTTCCCGTGACCTTCCGCCGGCTGCTGGTACATTTCCGCCTCCAATCCCTTGACTTTCCGTGACGCGTTGAATGGAGCGAATCCACGGGCTCCGGTGTCAGTTACCTGCTCGGTGTTGTCTCTTCCCAACACCTGTGCTTGCTCCTTTTACTTTTATTTTTTAAAAAAAGAAAGGGGGCCACGGGTTTCTATCGGCCATCTTGGTTTTGGGCGTAAATATAGAAGGGGGTGGGGATTGTTTTGAAAAGGAGAGATTGTTATGGAGGAAGTTGTCGGCAGTCAAATTTGCTTCCTCCTCAGGATGTCAGCATCCACTTTGTGATCTCGGGGCTGCTGCATGTTTACCAGAGGATGATCGACAGGGAGGAGGAGAACTGTCTGTTTGTGGCTCATCCCGGGGAGATCGTGGGACAACTGGCCGTGCTGACTGGCGAACCGCTCATCTTCACCATCAAAGCCCAGAGAGACTGCAACTTCCTCTGCATCTCCAAGTGCAACTTCTATGAGTGAGTCCCCTGTCTTTTCCACTGTTGCCTGAATAGAAACCCATCCAAGTCGCTGCATTTCCCACCTGATGATGAACCAACGTGCTGAGCTGCTCTTCTCTCCTTTGTAAAGGATCATGCGGGAAAAGCCGAATGTTGTGTTGACTGTGGCTCACACGGTGGTGAGGCGAGTATCTCCATTTGTGCGACAGATCGATTTTGCTCTGGACTGGATGGCAGTGGAGGCAGGGCGAGCACTATACAGGTAAGCACGTTGAAGTGGGTATTTGCACTGACGGCTATAGTGGAAAGCGATTCCTTTTTAGTATCTCGTGTCGGATGAATCGCGTGTGTGCAATCTGTTTCGTTGTTACCAGCAGATTGCTCCGACTCCTTTTAATGCAGATGTTGAATGGCCCCTCCTGTAGAGGTTCAGAGGTAATGTTCTGCAGCGATAACTGGTACAACATTTAACAGTGGGTAAATGATGCCCAATCAATGTACAAGGGGAAAAAATATAACTGCTTTGACACACTGCAGAAATTAACGAGGAGAGAATCAAAAAGTAGGAACCCGGTTGTTAGTCGATTGGTGGATCGCTTTTCCGGGGTAATAATCCCTGCAAAAAATAAATAAATAATAATAATTTGGGCACTCAACCCACGACTGTTGGTGGGACACTGCTGTGCGTATTTGGCTGCCCCTTTTCGCCCACAAAACATACAGTCAATTACTTTACAATATACTCTGAAGTGCTTTGAGACGTCTCGAAGACGTGATAGCACACTTTCCCAAATGCAAGGATTGTTATTATTATAAACACTTGGCTTTAGATATGTAGTATTTTAATGGGAAAATTGAATCCAATGCATCTTCAGTACAATAAAAAAAACTGCAATTGGTCCGTTCAGGCACTACTGCAATTAGGAGACCCAGAGTACGTAGCACAGACAGACAACTTGAAGCACTTTTTGGTAAGAGAGGGTAACTGTTCTCTTGGTGTTGTTATTTGGCAGGCAGGGGGATAAATCGGACTGTACGTTCATCGTGCTGAATGGGCGGCTGCGATCGGTAATCATGAAGGATGATAAGAAAAAGGAGTTGGCAGGGGAATATGGACGAGGCGATCTGATTGGAGTGGTTCGTAAATATTGAACTTTAGTTTCACTGATTTTTCTCCTTTCCTCGTAATAACTCTTCCAGACTCTTTCTCCCCGTCCAAACACACACACACACACACAGAGCAAGGAAATATCTATTTTATGTGATGCTCGTACACGTTAATTTGGGAGAAGAAAGTGGAGCTATTTATTGACTTTCAGACACTGATATATCTGGCTGTGCCAAGTGATGTGTCCACTGGGGTCCTGTTATTGTTTAACACACAATAGCAGCGCCTGCCTTCAGCATTTACATGCTTGCGTTGTAACAGCAAAACTGGCGCGGAACTACAGCCACAAATGGGCTGTCTGTTCCCTGCGGTCCTGTTACGGAGTAAGCTGATATTTTTAAACACGATCCACATAAGCAGTCGAGGCCTGTCATTGCTTAGCAACCGCACATCACCTTTAGGATCCCCACTGCTGCTACGGATTAATTTTCCGACTCTGCTGACCTGTTTGCTGTGTGCGTAAAATAATTTTTTCAAATTGAGAAACTGGGGGCCAATGTCAAAGAGGAGGAAGGACGCATTCAAGGCAAAGAGAACGCAGGACAAAATGAATTCAGAAGTAATTGTGATTTTATTTGTGTGCTTGAATTTTAAAATCCTTTGATATCGTGCCTATAGTGGTAAGTTTAAAAGATCCTGTGGCTTGAGTCAGCCTGGCTCAGTTTACCGTACACTCACTTCTGGTTAAGAACGTCATTGGGTTCAAGTCCCGTGCTATGACTTTGAGCTCACAGACCAGTGTCATGTTAGGGAGAGGGAGTGTTGTATTTGCAGAGGTGCCATCCTTTGCCATCCAACCCCTCACTAAGCCAGTCAGGAACTTGGGTGTCTTGCTGGACCCTGAACTGTCCTTTCTCCCCCACATCCATGCCATGACCGGCACTGCCTACAACCACCTCCGCAACATTGCCAGACTCCGCCAATGCCTCACCCCTCAGGCTGCCCAAACCCTCACACGAATTCCTCACATCAAGGCTCGATTATGGAAATTCCCTCCTCATCGGCCTTCCCAACTCTTCCCTTCACAAGCTGCAGATCATCCAAAACTCTGCAGCTCGTGTCCTCTCATGCACCAGGCTCCGTGACCCCATCACTCCTTCCCTCGCCCAAATCCACTGGCTCCCCATCCTCCAGAGGATCGAGTTCAAGATCCTCGTCCTCACCTTTAAGGGCATCCATGGACTTGCCCCCTCCTACCTCTCTGACCTGCTGACTCCCTAACAACCTGCCCACTCCCTCCGTTCAGTGGGCTCCAGTCTGCTCCACGTCTCCTGCCCTACCATCGGTGGCCGAGCTTTCAGCCTCTCTGCCCCCACACTCTGGAACTCCATCCCACGGTCCCTTCACCTCGCTTCCTCCCTTGCTTCCTTCAAGGACAGTCTCAAGACCCTTCTCTTCGATTGTGCCTTCGGTCGCCCTCCCACCTCTCTGCCTTCCCTCACCTTTACACCACCCCTCCCTCATGCTCGGGCTTCGACACCTGACTGTCCAGCCCCTTGGGACATCCTCAGGACGTGAAAGGCGTTCTATAAATGTAATTTTAATAATAATAATAATAATCCTCGCATTTGATATAGCGCTTTTCACGTCGGGAGGACGTCCCAAAGCACTTCACAGAATAGACTGTAAAGTGAATTGACTGTATATTTGTGGGCGAACGCGGCAGCCAATTGCGCACAGCAATGTCCCACAAACAGTCGTAGATTGAAAATGACCAATTTGTTATTGTTTTTGGTTTTGGAGGATTATTATTGTTGTTGAATTATTTTGTTGTTGAATTAAACTGGAGTCTTGCCTACCTATTAAAGATCATATTGTAATGTTTGAAAAGGGGAATGGAGTTTCTCCTGGTATCCTGGCCAGCAATCTCTCAGATGATAATCCCCACGGCTGTTGTGGGATATTGCTGTGTAATATTGCTGTGTGCAATTTGGCTGCCGCAAATATTCACTGCACTTCACACAGCAATTACCTGTGAATTGCTTTGAGATGTCTTGTCTGGCACAATATCAAATGAAAATATGTAGATGGTGAACACCAGGGAAATTAGGGGGTAAATGGGGTTGGCAAAGGGGACAGGAGCCGAATGAAGTCTTTCTCAGTGGTGATCCAATCAAGTCTGCGTATTCCAGGATACTGTTTACACTTAAACTGTGAGCAAAGATCACCTGTGAGTGACTCTGTCCCTACTTTTTGTGACCTGTCCCCCAGCCTCTTTGCTGCCCCTGTGCCGTGGGCTGAGGGAGATCTTTGATCCAAACCGGTCTTTAGTTGGATCCCGGAGCAAAGCTCTAGCACAGCAACCGCCTTTGTGTCGGGTATGATTTTAAATTTGTTTGCCTTTCTCCATGTGGTTCAGTTGGTTGCAGCACATTGAATCTTTGAGCTCATCCTCCTGTCCGTTGCAGTGTTGAGGAAGCATTGCATTGTCAGGCGTGTTGTCCTTCAGATGGGAAGTTGGACCACGGTCTAGTCTACCTGCTCAAGGTGGCTGATTAAGATTCCATCATGCAATGGGAAAAAAGAAATGGAGTTTCTCCTGGTGTCTTGGCCAAGAAACTTCCAGATGAATTGTTTATTCACTACATGCCTATTTGTCGGTCACTACTGTGAAAAACATGACTGCCGTGTGTGCCTACAAATACACTTCACTGCTCAATTCCCGGTGAAGTGCTTTGATAAGTTTCCACCGTTTGAGCTCTACATCAAAAACTTTATTTCATGTCTGTACTAATGCAAACATATACACAGTCAATTCACTCTGCAAAGCGCTTTGAGATGTCTCGAAGACGTGATGAGGCACTAAATCAAATACAAGGATTATTATTATTGAATGTTTTATCTTGTCAGTGTCCACTGTGACCAAACTAATGTTCTCTATGATTCCAACCTCTCCTCCCCGCTTCGTATCCAGGAGAAGGGAAGTGGGTCTAAGGTTATGAACTGCAGAAGGGTTTCTTACTACTGACTTATGCTTTTATCTGCAGGTCGAAGCTCTTACTCATCAGCCCAGTGCCACCACAGTGCACGCAGTGAGAGACTCCGAACTAGCCAAACTCCCTGAGGGTGCCTTGAACTCCATCAAACGCAGGTATCCTCAGGTAAGGAAAGTACTTTACTTGTGAAGTTCGTTCCAGTGGATGAGCAAGGATGTTTTTTTTAAGTGATGCACCAATGTGATTGAAGAAATTGGCTGTGTGCAATTGGCTACCGTGTTTCGCCCACAAAGTATACGGTCAATTCGCTTTGCAGTATTTTCTATGAAGCACTTTGAGACGTCTCGAAGACGTGATAAGGTGCTATATCAAAATGCAAAGATTATTGTTATATATAAGAAATAACTTTCCTTGTTCCAAAAGTGAGGCAGCCTTTGGCATTTGTTGGTCTTTGTTGGTCTTTCCCAGCACCTTGGGACGTCCTCCCGACAAGAAGGGCGCTATACAAATGCAAATTGTTGTTGTTGTTTGACTTTAATGTTGTGAGAGCTGCAGACAGGAGCAGGTAAGTACAGTATAACCACAGCTGTTGTACAAACAAGTGCTTGTGTAAAAAAAAAGGGAATTAATCAGACTGTTTGAGTGCTGTAGGTTATGTTTTGAAGGCGTGATTGATAGATTGCCTTTTTGTGACCAATGTATAAATTGGGGAATGAATTCGATGGGAAGTACCAAAACGTGAAGTGCACACGTTATATAGTTTGGGTAAGCAGTTGATTTATTTTTCTCAGCACCGCGTTGCTCTGAAGGAGATCAGAGGAACCATTTAAATTGAATCTTCCCTCCGTGGAACATCCAGAGTTGTGAAAAACACAACAGCTGAGATGTTCCCCATCTCCCATTTGATTCGTTCAGTTTTGACTCTAATGGTTCATTCTTTTGTGATAGTGTTTAATAAGAGGCAAAGAGGCTGAGCTACGTGATGGGTATTTATTGCATACCCTAATGGCCATGTGCTCTTGATGGTAGATTGTGCTTTGTTCAGATCGTTAATTACACGTTATTAGTTCAATCTCGATCTCGCCTCAAGTACAAAATCAATTAGCATTATACAGTCGTACAGTTATTAGAGGTTTCCCCGGAGCCGGTGACTGAAAAGTTACGTTTGATTTGATTGCTGTGTGTGGCATTTCTGAAGGTGGTCACTCGGTGGTGGTGGTGAAGTGGTCCATCGTTACACTGCAGCGCAGTGAGTCATCGGGACTTAGATTGCATTTAATGACAAACAATTTGGATTGCGAGAAGAGATCTTGAATGGAGGGAAAAAAAACTTTTATTTCTTGTTTGTATCTTGAGTGATCAAACTACCAATGTCACTGACTCTGCGTCAATGGCTTAGAATCACCGAGGCATAGACAACCCAATAACCAAGCTTATGAAGGGATGTTTCCACCTACACTTACCTTAGGCTAAATGTGTTTGCGTGCCATAATTACACTTTGCGCACAAAGAAAATCCTTGAGTATTTTTGACAGGGGAAAGATTCACTTGGTCACATAGTGTAGGCGTTCGAACAGAAAGGAGTTGGTGTCAGATCCATCTGAATTCTAGCATTTTTCCTGTATTTATGCTGTTCTCACAAGCTTCACTCTTGAGATATCAATTCACTTTACAGTATATTCTGTGAAGCGCTTTGAGACGTCTCAATATAATATGGCGCTATATCAAATGGAAATATTATTAGTAGTAGTATTGTTTACCTATTATGAAAACTAGGACTTATAACTTTTAGCTAGAGGCCCAGAACTGAATTGTATATTAACATGTATTTTCTTTCTCTATGATGTCTCTTTAAAGGAAGATTAGCTCAATTTATTATGATACGCATAATGACAGATTGGGCTGTTTCCACTGGAAACCGAGAAGGTTAAAAGGACACCTAATAGGAGTTCTTGAAAATTCTGAAAGGTTTTGAGATGGTAGACGGAGAAAGATTATTCCTGCTGCTTGATCAATTGGGCAACGCAGGGGCTTAAACTCAGGATTATGACAGGAAGGTTAGAAGAAGCTTTTTTCACACAGAGGTTATTATTATCGCCTTTGCTCAAAGTGGATGTTAAAGACAGGGAATTAGATAAGCATCTGAAAAAGAAGAATGTAAAAAGGGCATGGAAAACATGATGGAATTGGGATTAGGGAAGTTAGTTCCAGCTAAGGTTCGAAGGAGTCATGGCTTTATTATTTGATGCATTCTCATTTTCTCTCCATTCTGAGAATATTTGCTGGTTTTGTCAGCCAGCGATGGTTCTGTAAACTGAACAAAATAGGTTAGATTTGACCTCTGGATGTGAACTCCTAATTTGAGATGCCTGTCCACGAGCAAGGAATTGCCTCGGGCTGATCTTTAATTAATTGACTAATTAATTACACTGTTTTCTGTGGATTTCAGGTTGTTACACGACTGATTCACCTCCTGGGTCAGAAGATCTTGGGGAGCCTGCAGCAAGTCAATGGGCCATTGACAGGCAAGTCCTAAACAGAGCCAACTCTTTTCCCTTCTCCCTTTCCTGACCATTCCGAAATCCAAACTCCACTGGGATCACGGTTGTCATTGTGCGTTAATTCAATGCAAATTGATTTATCGACCAGATTTGGCACATCCGACACAGGCGGCCCGTTAAGTTTGACCGTGTACACGTCCTCGACAATGATTAGTTGAAGCAAGTACCATCTCGCTTCAAGGAGGCTCGACCGTGACACATGAGGATTTGATCAGCAAATGTAAGAGGGGACAGTCCATGTGCTCGTCCATCTGGAAGTAATGACCAACCAGCTCAGTGATTAGTTTTAATTAACAAAAAGCCTCATTGGATATTAACTAGTTTGTTGGGTGATCTTTTCCTAATCGTGGCTGGTCGCTGACTGTAGGGGAAGCCCCTTACTATTTGTGGTTTTATCACAATAAGACTGCTATAGAGTTTTAGATGGTCAGACTCCAGGAGTAACCCCTCTTCCCCCCCCCCCCATCATATGCACACACACATCCCCCAAGCCTTGGCTCTTATCAACCTGTGTCTAATATTCTCCGCAACTAGGTAAGCAGCATGCATCCCTCAAGATAGGGAGAGCGCATGTTACATTCCAGACACATGATACACGTATATAGAACTGACCAACATAGAGTAATAAAAAAAATTGACTTATTTTCTCTTGTCAGGACGCGGCTTGGGAATTCACACGGTGGGAAACAAATGGGATTCAGTGGTAAATCCTGCCAGCAATCTCTCCACTGTAGCCATCCTGCCCGTAACTGAGGATGTTCCCATCACTGCATTCACCCTGGAGCTCAGACACGCACTCAGTGCCATAGGTAAGAGCATTTGCATGCACTGCGATGTGACGAACAGCCCTGTACACAGCAAAACTTCACCACATTGTGAACTGAGTGACCCTTTGTTCGGCACTCGCCTTTAGATAAGCTACTGTCTACTACATACAATAATAATAATCCTTGTATTTGATATGACGCCCTATCACGTCTTCGAGCGTCTCAAAGCGCTTCACAGAATATACTGTAAAGTGAATTGACTGTATATTTTGTGGGAGAATCTTAAAGGGCGTATACAGTCTCTGAACAGCATCTGTTGCTACGGGTTTGATACTGAATATTTAAATAGTGGGGTGTAAACGTTTCCTGAACGCATTGGGAATGTAGTCTCAGTGTGGCGGCTTTCATTTTGTGGAAAGTATATTCTGAAGAAAATATCTGTGAATGAATTGAGCTGTGTAAATCAATTGTTACAGGTGGTCAGATATTGCGTGGGCTTTGCTGGGAGTTTATTGATGTTGCTCAATGCTGTGCTTCGCTATGTGAGGCTGTAGCCTTTCAGCAAGACACACTGGCCTCCAGACTGATAGCACAGATGAGTGTCTTAGCAAGATGTTGAATTCAACAATTCTGTCACACTGAGGCGGTGTAATTTTGAAGACACCAGTTTAATTAAAAGGTTATCTATTAATTGAGCTTCGTGAAATGTAATCTGAATTTTAATTTGAAATGTTCATTGAATATTTACTGCTTGTAATTTCTGCGCGATAATTGCAGCTGCTACCACAGTGAATAAATGTTCCATTTTGTTACCACACGGTTGATATCCCCCACAACTCTTCCAAAATGAAAGCGAAACCTTAGCTTTGAAAGGGTTGTTATCGTTTTTAATAACCGGAGGATTAGAAATGTGGCTCAAGCATAGAAAAGCTTCTTCGCAAGCGTAGACCTGAATGTAAAGTCTGAATTAGTTTACCAGATTTCACTGAATATTAATAGTTTGCACCATTCTGGCTGCCAAGCTCCTGTGTGAATATTCAAACAATGAGAAAGAGGGTTGCATGTTAAGATGACATTGAGATCAGCAGTGATGTCGGGTGATGGTAATATTGAAATGCTGGCATACATTCGGCAGCTTGTGCATTCCCATTTGAAAACCCATTCAAATGAATTTATAATTAAGGGGCTCGATAAGTTTAATTAAAGTCTCAACGTATGTTTAGCTGAATAATTTACATGCTCAGTTTGTTTATATAGGTTTAGTGCAGCATTGCAGGTGGCTTTGCATCATGATCACTCGCTTACCTTGTGTTCCTGTTTCTATGTTTTCAACAGGAATACAAGATTGTTTTTAACCTGCATGTTGCTCTGGTTCCCTTTTATTCACTGCTCTGGTGTTAGTTGCTCTCTCTCTCTCTCTCTCTCCTCCCTTACCTTCAACTTTTCAAGTTTCATTGTTTGGAGGAGTGGAAGAGTGAAATGTAGAGTCGTGAAGTGAGGCCTCAGTGACTTTTTCAGTAGTTCCAAAGGCATGAACTTATCACAAGGAAACAGGCAAATTCCATGCTGTACTAAACAGCACTGGTTATCCCGATGCCAGTGGGGTTATCACAAAACAAATTTGCTTGTATCCATTGCCCAAAATGCTCGGTAGGTACGGTAAGAAAATAACTGAGAGGAGGGGACAGAAAAAACAGATTCTGTAAACCACAAGAGCAAAGTTTAATCACTTACCCGAACCCTGAGCTCTTCATTTTAATTCTCATCCCACGCACCCATTAATGGCTGTGATGCATGAGTGTTCATTATAACCGTGAAATAAATGAAGGCTGACCTGTTGTGTGTGAGGGAAGACTTGCAAATGCTGTCACGGTTGATGGGCAGAGCACTCCAGCATTTGAGCAATGTCCTGACTGAAAGTTGGCAGAATTTAAAAGGGTTGAAGAAAACACTACCCTCCGTGAAGGGCGCTATATAAATCCAAGTTGTTGTTGTACATTTCATATCATGCGTTTCACATCGGGACGTCTCAAAGCTCTTCCCAGAATAACCTGTAGTGTACCGACTGCGTACTTTGTAGGCAAAATTTCATAGTCTCCACAATTGCCGATGCCTTCCTCCTCAACAAGCCTGCTGACAATATTGTTCCTGACGGGAGGATTGTCTCGGGAGTGTATTTTCTGCAATGTGGATGGCTGGTTTGAACTGTCCTAGGAGGCGATTTAGTAGCTGCTCAACTGCAGCCACTGTTATTTACTGGGTATTGAGGCTGCTGTTGAGCAGATACTAAATCACTGGTACCCACTCAAGTAACAAGGAGTCGACCGGTGCAGGGATCCTCAGGGGATGCCAGCAGCGGTGAAAAATTAGTGATAATTATATTTTCGCATATCACCGGGGAGCATTTAAAATAGCAAGTAGACATTAATACGTCACTGCAATCTTTCAAGCTTTCTCTAATGAAGCCTCCAACAACAACAACAACAACAACAAGATTCCATTTATAGAGCGCCTTTCACGTCAGGAGGACGTCCCACTTCTCGCCTGAGCCATTAAGACCATTTGCAGTAGCCCCGCAGTTGCTGTTCCTTGTTAACCTGAGATGGAGCTCAGGACAGGCTAAAGATCATGAGACTTTTCCTAGCCGTGTGACTCAATGCTTCCTGCTGCTAAAAAGATATTAAAATGCCACAAGGCCTCCCTGTGTCCCATGCAACATTTGGTGCCTGAGAGTACAGATTTTTCCTTTCATTACAGAAAATTCCATTTGTGTCTATGAGTTTTGTTTGCTCAGAGCAGCAGGTTACTGTTCATTGTTGTCTAATTATGGCTGCCTCGTGTGTGTGTGCACATCTGAGTCTTGGGGAAAGAGAAAAATACATTTTTAATGGAGAAAATTGGATTTCACAAATTTGATTTTGCATTTAGGATAAATTACTCTGAATGAGGGCTTACTTTTAATGGGATTGTGGGGATGGGGGTTGGTGGGGAGGGGGGTTATTTTCAAACTTCTGTGCAGCCAGTTGCACAAATCTGCTGGATCTCGCAAAACCATTCATCTTTTAGTAATAACCTTATCGTTTCTTCCAGCTAAATGAAAGCTAAGCTGTCAGTTTACAACGTGTCACGGTTGTCAAACTTCTAACAAATTTCTATTATCTTATTTAAAACCCATTTGGCACAACGGTAAAATTGAGTTTAAACAGAACAGGCAAATCCCTTTTATTAAAGGCCAGACTAATGTGTGGTATTTGTAATTGGTTACGCAGCAGGAATAATTAAAAACCCATTATCATTTGCAACCTGCTGTGTGTCCATTGTTCCTCTGTTTGCTTTACAATTGAACTAAATAGGCATGTAAGGTGCGTGCACCATATGACCTGGAACTGACTGTTTCACTTTGTGGCGGGTAAGCCCGCCAATTGATGTTGACTAAACTAAAGCTCCAAGAGGTTCAAGAACCACAATCTTGTTGTGGAGGAACCCGATGAGGAAAAAAATCAAATCTGAGTCGAGGCCTTTTTGTAGCATGTGGATTTTGAGTTGAGGGGGAGGCAATAAGAGAGTGAATCATAAGTCCCACAAGCCGGTGGGGAGGGGTTTGGGGGGATGTCTTGGTCAGTCTTCCGCCTCTTATGTCATTCAGATCTCTTTAAGTAGGCAAATGAGGCAGCAATTTTGCATCCAGCAAAGGCCCCACAAAAGACCATGAGGTCAATAATCTTGGGATGTCCTTCCGATGTGAAAGACGCTATGTAAAGGTAACTTGTTGTTTACCCGGAGGGTTGTTGGCCAGGACACTGGGAGAAGCTTCCTTCCCTTTTCAGATGGATAGGATTGTTAGTGTCCACCTGAGCAGTTGGGCAGGATCTCAGTTCAACATCTCAACTGAAGCATTGGTAATACACCTCCAGAGTCACACTGGAGTGTCCACCTGCTCCACTGACTCGTTTACTGATGTGGTTTATGAACTCGCAACTTTCTGACTGTTTGAGCAGGAGTGACACCAACTGAATTAAGTTGATATCATTAATGTAGAGTCTCATTTTAGCGATAAAGTTTATCCTCTGCATACCATTTCCCTTCCTCCCTCTCATTTTCCCCTCTCTGGCTCGGCATCCTGTTGTGTAGAACCGTTGTGCCTTCCTGGTTATCGCCTTGGATCAAATAAATTGGGAGAGCGAAGGAGCAAGCAGGGAGGTGAATAAAAGGTCACTGAGCCTGCAGCGTTTTACAAGGCTCTTTTTAAAGAATATCCAATTATCTTTAGTTACTTGCACGTGTGCCGCCAGGAAGCTGTGCGCTCGCTCAGATGTCGGGGGCTTTCAGTGCTCTGCAGGTCGTGTTGCTCCAGCTCTGTAGGAGACTGATGATGTCTGACATTTTACAAATTGTCTCTCGAGTATTAGGTTAAAATTTTTCATACTCCCCTTTCTCTCCTGGTTGTAATTCTTCTCATTATGGGCTATTTTTCATCCCACCGCGTTCCCGTTCAAATCCAGTTCAGAGTACTAACGTGCGGCTTGAACCGACAACCTTCTAACTCGGAGGCGAGAGAGAGGGCTACGAACTGAAATGACAAACGCAGAATGGTTCCTGAAGACGGTCGGACTGTCTCTGCTTGGTGTGGGGGGGGGGGGAACCTGCAATCCCCCCCCCTGCCCCCGCTCTCCACCCCTCCCGGCCCCAACTCCCAGCTCAAAAAACCCTGACTCCAGTGCCCTGGGTCGTCTTTCCGACGTGAAGGGCGCTGTACAAGTGTAATTTGTTGTTGTTGTTGCCAGTTTGCTCCATTCTCTGTGAAAATGAAAGGAGACTCTTGTTGCTGAACTGAGCGAGGAGGCAGACACAAAGTCCCTGGCATTCCCCAACCACTCGGCAGGAGTAAAAGCTGCCGACCAGGCCAGAACCCCCCCCCCCCTCACCCTCCCCCCAACACCTCCCTCCCCCCAATTCCGCTCTGAGGCTCAGTTTGGGATCTAAGGAGATCGGAGAATTGAAATGGAACTTCAACCAAAATGCGATTAACGTTTGTTTCATCATTGCTTTTCCTCTGCACAAGTATGTGTCAAATCTGAGACCAGAATCTGCAAAGTCATTCCTGAGTAAAAATGCTGTGGGGAGTTTGTATTGTGCCTTACACTATTAGCTTCAGAAAACCCAAGTAACTTATTTCTTTTTAGGTCCTGTTTTGCTATTGAATAGTGATGTTATCAAGGATCGCCTTGGATCTGCTGCTTTAGACAGGTAAAGCTATATTCATTGCATAGCCCTTCCTTTTTTCGCATCCATCCACCTTTCTTGCTCTTCCTTCTTCATCCACTTGCCCGTCACATTGGGGAAGGGAATTACAAACTCAGTACCTGTGTGTACTGACTGCTTGCTAGAATGTTCAATAATAATCTTGATAACAAGCTTTGCATTTGAGATCATAATAATCCTTGCAATTGATATAGTGTCTTATCATGTCGTCGAGATGACTCCCAAGTGCTTCACTCAGGATATAGCACCTTTCACATCTGGAGGATGTCCCAAAGTGCTTCACAGAATTCACTGTAAAATGCAGTGACTATCTTTGTAGGCTGACGCTTCATAAAACGCCAATAAATCTGAAGTGTTTGCATGGGTTTCCAGATGGAAGCTGAGATTATTCTCTCTAGTTCCTCCAAACCAGCGTCTTAGCATTTGCTGAAGTGCCGTGCCGTTGTGTCCTTGCAGTATTCATGAATATCGACTGTCGAGCTGGTTGGGGCAGCAAGAGGACATCCATCGAATTGTTCTCTACCAGTCAGACAGCACCATGACCCCGTGGACCCAGCGCTGCATCAGACAGGCCGATTGCATCCTTATTGTTGGGCTGGGAGAGCAGGAGCCCACGGTGGGCGAGGTGAGGCAGTGTGTGTGATGTGTACGGTGTATGTGTCTCATGAGTTTCTCCCCTTCCTCGTGGACTTATTATCGCAGTATCTTTCAAGTGGGATCGGTTATTTTGGTCAGACAAGAGGGAAGGGGGATGTAGAGTGGGGTCCACCACTCCCCGAACTTGTAGCACGTTCCTGAAGCTGGTGCTCGGTTCAGCTTTTGAGGACAGCAATATCTCGCTTCCGTAAAACATACGGGGATGAACGTAACTAGCCGACTTGAAGCATGTAAGAACGAGGAGCCATTGCCTTCACCAAATAGGTTGGGTTCTGTCCTCCAGGTGGTAAGACCCCCCCCCCCCCCCCCACCCTCCCCCATCATCAGAGTGCTTGAAATCCCTTAAAATCTTGCCGTGATGTTGGGTTCAGGTAATTCTTCTGTCTAAACCCGCTGCTCTGTGTTTTCAGCTGGAGAGGATGTTGGAGATCACTGCAGTGCGAGCGCTCAAACAGCTGATCCTCCTGCACAAGGAGGACGGGCCCCCCCCGGCTCGCACCGTCGAGTGGCTCAACATGAGGAGCTGGTGCTCGGGGCACCTTCACCTCTGCTGTCCTCGTCGAGTCTTCTCTCGCAAGAGGTTGCCTAAACTGGTAGGGAATTTGGAGCTGTCTGTGGGTCGTCGTCGCGGCTGCCGTGTTCGCTTTTAAAAATAAACCGGTCACTACATTTTACGTTAAATCCTGTGAAGTGCTTTGAGACGTTCCTGTCTGGTGGGGAAGGGAAGAAGGAAGGGTTCACGCTTACTGAACTGTTGGAAGTTCTGTACCACTGTATGTCTAACCCAGTTCAGTTAAGAGACTGCTTTAAGGAGCCTCTGTCCTTTAAGCACTCTGGTACATTGTACAGCAGGAAAATAGTCAATGTCGAGGTGCTTTGTAGGAATTCCAAAATAACCCTTCCAACAAAATACTCTCCGTAAAAATAGTGTATTATCTCATTGCGTGCTGTTCCCGACACCTTGGACCAGGCTCCTGCACATCGGAGCATTCAAATGGGTTTTCAAGAGGTAGAAAATTGAATTTTAATTGTAATTAGACAAACATCTTTGGTAACTCATTAATCTGGAAATGGAGATTAAGCTAATTGAATCATTACTAATTCTGAGAACTCGTTGGACGTCAGAGAGATGAGGACTGAACAGTTCTGGGTGTTTTTTTTTTCTCCGATCTGAGAGCTACTTATTTAAAAATGATCCAGTGGTTGACAGGAAACTGTGACCTCTTTGAAAGGATCAGACTGAATGTGAACACGAGCCGATTGACATGATTAGTATTAGTCCCAGCAGTCCATCTCGAGTGTAGCATACTGTTTTGATGGGTTACCGCTGCAATTTACAGCCTAGGACGAACAGTGCTTTGTATTCAGTGTTGCCTGAGCGACGGCCCTTTACAATGATGACTGTGGATCTTTCCCACTCTTATTCATGGAGCCTTGGTACTATTATATTAGATCATCCCTGATCCTTGTGTTCAGGAAGTGATGAACAATGACTTGACCACTGGGAAGCCAGACATTTTTGACACAGGAAGCCGACTGGTCAGCGCGAAAAACTGGGTAGAACAAGTCCACAGGACACCAGTGCTGTAACCAGGATGACAATACTGGGGGAGGAGGGGGCCGTATATGATAACAGGTTGCTCTCTAGCAAACGGACGGACAGTCTGCTTAGTAATCCACTCACATCCACGGTTCTTTAATGAATACAAAATAACTGTTCATCTGCCCCCAGAGGTAGAGAGAGATTCAGAATTGTGGTCAGTTGAACTGAAGCTTATGTCTTTCCTTTTGTGTTTACAGCTCGAGATGTACCAAAGGGTTTCTGAGAAGCCACCTGACCGGCATTCCGACTTCTCCCGTCTGGCCAGAGTCCTTACAGGCAATTCCATTGCGTTGGTTTTAGGAGGTGGAGGTGCAAGGTAGGCTCTGTGTCTTAGCTAAGCTTGTGTCTGAGGGCCAGACTTCCACTGGGGTTGGAAGAGATCAGGGGAGGGAGTTTGACCCATGAGCATTTATGTCTTGTGCCAACTATCCAACCCAAGAACCAATTTCTTCCATTTTTTCCCTCTTTGGAAAATCCAAGGAACAATGCCTTTTTATGTTATTTTTCCGCGTCTGTGTACAGTGTGGGATTTATACAATTTTTCAACCTCTTTCCCTGAATGCGAAAACTAGAATCACGGTTATCACTCAATCAGGACGGCAACATTTGACCCAAAATAATAGGCCAATGGTAATAGCTCCGCAGTCCAGATGACGTGTTCCGGTCATTACTGATGCACTCTCTCTCTTTCTCTCTGGGGAACATTTCAGCTCCTGCTAATAGAGACCTCGATAAGTGTTGGATTTCTTTTCTTGTGCAGTAACCGCCACCTCTTTGTTCGGGTTTTAACGTTTTATGTGCAGTTAGAAAGAAATCTCATTAAATCTGGTCCTGGTGGCTCAGTGGGTGGGTGAGTGGCCTGAGTCATTACACAGGAGGATTCCAGGTTTGAGTCTAATCTGGGCTGCGTTGGCTGGTCTCAGGGTAACGGTATGATGATTGCCCTTCATCCTCATGGGGGCGGGGGGAGGGGAGGGTGGGTGGGCTAATGAGTGGAGGTGGGCAAGGAGAATTCAGCCAAGATTCTTGACTGCTGCCTGGTCACTCCTGCTGGGCTGTCCGTTTGTACAATGTGTCACAAGAAAACAACACAGAGCAGTGAGCTCAAGCTGACCTTTTACTGTGTTCACATGTAAGCAGCGAGGCACGTTGTTTGTATGTTGCAAATGCACAGCACAGGAAGGTTTGACGGATGTTTCTGTGAAGCTAAGCAGGTGTGTTAACAAGCACTTTCCATCAGGTTGAAAAAAAGGATATTTTTTAAAAAATCTTAAGAGTACCCTTCTTCTGGTAAATGTTCAAAGTGCTTTGACTTTTAGTGATAATTGAGACTTTGAGTTCTTCCCCAGAGGATATAATTTGTACTCTGTCACCTGTCCTATGTTCTCTCTTCTGAGTAAGCTTCTGTTAATACGTGCATTTAACTCTGGACTTCACAGCACAAGGAGGCTGTAACTCTACTGTATCTTGTTTCTGTGGCAAACAGGATCTCAATTAATTGGCACATTTCAACTGTTTATAACACAGTACAAATTTACATAGTGTCTTTGAAACGGGGAGAGAGTCCCAAAGTCCTGGCTGGCACCCAAGCTGGGTTTTGGGATCTATAAAATAAATAATAATCCTTGCATTTGATATAGCGCTTTTCGCGATCTATGGCGAGGGGAGAGATTACTGAAAGTGTGGTCGAAAAGGTAGGTCTTGAGATGGACCTACTAACCAACAGTCGGGTCTCCGTTTAAGTTGTTTTTCTACCTTCTGAAGATTGACATGAGGGGTCAGGCTGATATTTAAAAATATTTGCATGAATAATGGCCCATTGGACAAGGAAAGGGAAAGTTCCCACAGAACCACATCCCCAATAGAAGGAAAAAGCAGTCAAAGGACTGACTCAGAAATGTGGGACAGTTGACAAAGGAGAGGATAAAGTGCAGCTCTGAACATTTGTCCCAAGTTCTCCCCAGCAATTCATTCAGTGTTCAGTTCAACCTGAAATAAACAATACAGCATTGAACTTGGTTGCCCCTGTTTAACATAGACGTATTGAGCTTCTATGTTAATTGGATTCCAGGTTACATTTGACGATCTATTAGTTGGCCACTTCAACCCATTGCATGATTTATAATTATATATCCGATCATCGAGCGTTTTCTTTGGAGTGCGCTTCCATCTGGATTAAACTCAAATTAGGGTATTTATTCTCTGGGTTGGGTGAGTTGGATGTATGTCAAGTTACAATTAAAATGCAAGTTGCATGATAGATGTATCTACCGTTTTGTGTAAAGGACTGGATTGATTTTTTTCAGACTTTCGCTTTAAATAGCAACAAGCCATATTTTTGTGTGTGTGTCGTCGTAGTCAGTTTCTTTTTAAAGAAAAGCTTTTTGTGGCTGTAGAACTGCGTCTAATTCTAAAAACAGGCCAGGAGCGAGGCAAATGCAGCAAATTGGGATTATACAAGTAAACAGTGAGTCATCAGTCATTTTCTGACTTCATTGCTTGGATGAATCATTAGGTCCTGCGGATGTGCTCTAAATTATCAGTCGTAACCCCTTCCAGGTCCAACATCAAACTGGGAATAAAAGTAGATCACTGACAGAAACTGATGGATTTAAGTGATTTATATTCTTTTGTGTTTTATATACCTTTCTTTTCTGATGCTTTTTCTCTATCCTCCTTTCCTTGCCTTCCACTCGTATTTTTGTGGCATTCAGCGTTTTCAAATCACACTGCATCCTTGAGCTTAGGGAGTGAGCTTGATATCCCTTCAGGATCTCCTCTCGCCTATGGGATGCTTCCCTGCCCTATTCTCTTGGCCGTTCCCTCCGTTCTTCCATTAGTGGTTGTGTACTTGTTCTTTATTGTCTCTGCCCCAACATTTGTGGTTAAGCAGTCAATCAGCTCCTAAGGCCCTTGTCCTCCAAAACTCTCATCCAAAGTATCATTGCTGTGTTTCCTTTCTCCCTGCCTTCAAGATGTCCTGTCCTGTGTGAATGTTGTTGTTGGGTGGGAAACAAACTTACCTAACATTGGGAGACCTTGCGAGCACTGAGTCACAGCAGATTGGGAGCTGTGGAGCACACACATCTGAGTCACGTGACGCAGTGGATCGGGACATTGCCCCTGTCTTTCGCTTGACTGACGCACAAGGTTTCTTCCTCCACAATGTCCGTGCCATTACTGGACACGCAATGCTGTAGCCAGGCGTTTCTTGCTTCCAATAACAGGCCCTAACAAAGGGCTTTAAGATTAAAAACCTCTTGAGTGAACTCTGCTCGTTCCCTGCAGTTTCCACCCTCAACGGGAGGTGGTGCTGGTTGGTTGTTGCTCGCTCACTGCAGTTGCATCGATCATTGCCATTGCACATTACGCTCTGATACCCCATGCGGTGTGTGCTGGGTGGTCAAGATTGTACCACACAGAGACTAATTGATATTTAGGGATAAACTAACATACAGAATAACAGATGGGGTGAAGTGAATTACAGCGATGGAGTTTCACTACATCTGTAATAACATCTCAATAATTCCACAGTTTCGGGAGTCTGTGTGGCGTCATTTTCAATCGCTGAAAACAGCAGTGCGATTTGGAAGCCGTCCCAGTATTTGAAATGCACGTGGCTTAGGTCAGATATCCCTCTGCTCCTTTGGCAGATGGTTGGAGAGCTCCACATACACAAACGAAAGCTTTCTTTAGAAAAGCAGAGCAGAGCTGCACATATCTGTGGGTTAGGATGTGGAGTTCGATGTTATAGGGTGGTTCGGGTGTTTATCCGTAAGAGCTTATTGCTTTCCACTTATGGGCACCCCTCTCGAGTAACCACCTTTTATGACTGTCTATCAAACTTTTCTCTTTCAGCCTCAATAGGCTGACATTTGAAGCAGCGATATGGTAATTCGGCTCTGCGTATTGGAGTCTCTCCACGTGGCTCACTTTAACATTGCTCCGAAGTGCCCCGAATCTCCTACACTGTAATAAGCAGTCTCTGGCTCCTTTCTGCCACCTTCATGCCCGTTTTTCAAGTGTGAAGAGTTTGTGGGGAGTGTTATTTGCCAATTTATTTGCTTCTGAAATTGCCCAGATTAATGCAGCATTTAGAAGCTTCGGCTAGACAAGTCATCCGTTCCTTTTGTTGGATTGTTTTCTCCTCCCCAACAAAGATTGTCTTCCATGGTACTTACTCTGCCCAGCTAATGAGCCAGCTTCCAACCTTCTGCCAATATTTGCTGCAATAAGATAAGCAGGCAAGAAAGAGTAGAGAGTAGTTTAAGGCTTCCACAAGTTTCCTATTAACTGGAACAATATCAATGGGATGAATTGCTGATAAAGAAACTGTTAATGGTTCACAGCAAGCCTACGTCTTGCTTTCTCAGTGCATCAAAGCTCTGCAGCACCAACTTACCATGTGACTTATCGCATTACAAGATCAAACCTTTCATATATGTATCAGTGATGGGGAAGAGTGAAGCTAAGGAATGAAATGATTCATCACTATGTGGCTCTGTATTTTTGGCTGGTATCTCACCCGGACGGAGGACCATTACAGTTGCATTTCTGATCGAGTTACCAAATCAATCATTGGATCATCAATCTTTCGCTGGGAAGCCTCAATGATGTTATTCACTCGAGTGAATAAGCCGTCATGAGACAAGCAGCAAAGCCTGGCTGCAGTCTGCCGTGAGATCAAGTTGCTTCATCTTTGCCAATGTTTATTACACCCTCTAAAATATATACTACTGTATTTCCATAACCTCGTTAAACCCCCTTACGAGAGCCAGTCCTTGCTTAACATCGAGAACTGCTGTTACTCGAGCTTACTGAGCTAGTCTTGAGCAAAGCTTCCATTTTCAAGCAAAAATTCATGAACTACTTTATTGGCACAATTCTGCCATAAGCTTTGAACAGAATGTTCCAGGCAGCACTGAGCTAGATCTCGAGAGGTAATATTTCATGTCAGTGTTTCGTGAATAAGATTCCAGTTCGGCACGTTTCACAAACAGCGGCAATATCATTAGCCAGTGCCTTGTGTACTGAGAGACCAAGGCCATCTGGTTAGCATGACTATGGTTCTCTTGCACAGCTCAACAGTAAGAGTTTGAGAATATCCTATTCTCAACCACTCGGTGACCTGTAACCCACCAATATCCCCCCACCAGCTGAATGAGTTGAATTACCCATGAGCTGCAATTGCTACATGTATAATAATGTTGTATGACAGGGAGCAGTAAATATGGAAATCAATGTGAAAATAGTTATTCGAGGACTTGAGGGACAAATCTTTATGGTGACTTATATAATTTTTCCTGTCCTACCCACAGGGGGTGCTCTCAGGTCGGGATTATCCGGGCATTGCACGAGGCAGGAATCCCCATAGACCTGGTGGGTGGGACCTCCATCGGCTCGTTCGTGGGAGCGCTCTATGCAGAAGAAAGGAATTTCAACCGAACAAAAACTCGAGCTAGCCAATGGGCCAAGGTAAGAGGAAGGTAGACCCGATGGGCACTGGGAATGGAGTGGGGGTGGATGGGAGTCTTAAACTGTGGTATTTACACCAGGTTTCAAAAAGGGTTTGCAAATATTCAATGCTGCAAAGTGACCGGAGACACATCATGCTCATCCATGTCGTGTGTGATATCCAATACTTCGAGAGATAATCCGATGGGAGATTGGATGAGTTAGAGGAGATGAGCAGATGCCACCACGCCTGAAACGATTAACATTTCAATGCATTTTATTATTCCACGTTGAAATAATTTACCTCCGTGGAATAAATTGCAATTCTTATTTATTCTTCCAGAAGTGCTGCAGTTGCCAGAGGTTAATGGGAGACAAATGTAGGTTTCTGGTGCATGAAATTGTGCAGTTTGTTTTGGAGGGGGGCGGGGGGCAGGGTCGGTGGAGTGACCAGTAATAAAGACGGGGAAACAGGTTAAGGAGTTTAATTTAAATTGAACCCTCTTTCCCCCACCCTCCCTTCACCAAAGACAATTTCTTTAGTCTTGTACTCTAGTACTCCATAAAATGAATCGCTGTGTATGAAAAAGCAAATGACCAAACTCGCTAAAACTATTTGTCAGTGAATTCGGAAAGCAACTTCTCAGACATCTATTATGTCATAGCAGCAAATATCCGTTGGTTGTATTATTTTATCTGAATTTAATGCGAGCATAACTTATCTCCGAGATCACTCGGGGGATGCCACTGATTGATGGGTAGACAGAGGCATGACTGCATTAATGTGATCAGTCTGTGAAGCTTTGTTCTGCAACCACGCTGCTTTGATGATAATGTTAGTTGTTCTCGCGAAATCCCTGAGAATAAATATTCTCCAGGATGTTTGTCATGAAACAACTCTTAACAGCAGAGCCTGTATATCAGCAAGATTGACCATTGACTGATGATCTCTGACCTGCACAATCTTTCTGTGGACTGTACACTAATCTACTCTGGCTGCTTGTGTTCTTCTGTATTCCTGGACTAGTTATCCAACTCACACCAGGGAATATAGTTCCAATGAGCAACACAGGCATTGTGCAGAGACACAGCCCCTTGAATGCATTTTGACATCCTCACACGACTCACTCCTTTCAGAACCATTTGTAGCTGCACAGCTTGACCTATTCCCCACTTTGTTAGCAGGATAGGAGATCTGTGTAAGAGGAATGCTGCGTGTCATCTTTCTCATGAAGTCACATCGCTTTGGGTCAAATTGTTTATTTTTCTCAGTCCTAGAAGAATTTTTGTCTTTTGGCTTTGGATGCTTTAACGTAAGGTAGTATCATTTCTATTTGCAATAGAAAAGAGCATACATATTGCCTAAATATGAGACACTGATCTGTCGTCACCCACACCCCAATGACCTCAAGCTTTCTGGGTTACTCTGGAAAAATTCTGATTCTACATAAAATACTGTTACTGAAATGATGTTTCCTCAGTTAGCCTCATCTCTTGTGGTGCTGAACTGAAATTTCTTCACTTACATAATGATTCGATTTGTGTGTGGTTTTTTTTTCCATTATCAGGAAATGATGTCCTTCTTCAAAAAGGTCCTAGATTTGACGTATCCGATTACGTCAATGTTTTCAGGGTCTTCTTTTAATAGCAGCATCAGCAACACCTTTAAGGACAAACAGATTGAGGTAAGAGGAATGGATCCGATTCAATGTCAGAACTCGAATTGGCAAAGGTGTGTGTGTGGGGTGGGGGGCGGGGTGTGAGGAGGATAAATCAATTGCACTGTTCCTGGTTCTCAGAATATCTTTTCTTGTAGTCGTGGTAATAATAATAATAAAAATTCTTGCATTTAAGGTTGAACCATTCACATCAAGAAGACATTTCAAAGCTCTTCACAGGATTTACTGTGAAGTGGTGCGACTGTATTTGTTGGCAAGGCGCTTTGACATGTCTCTCAATGACAGGATTAGGCTCTGCATTAAATTTATTGCTATAAGAAGTGAGGGAGGAGATCTCTTCTGTTCACGCACTTTCTTATCTCTTTACTCCACAGGATCTGTGGATTCCTTACTTTAACATTACCACAGATATAACGGCATCTGCCATGCGGGTGCACACAGATGGTAAGTCCGTTGTTGCTCCTATATAGCTGAGTAATGCTGTGGTAAAGTAATAACGTCAACAGTCAATAACATTTGCACAGCGCCTTTCACGTCAGGAGAATGTCCCAAGCCGCTGGGCAGTCATGGCTTTGGACCCGAGCTAGGCGATGTGATCAGGAGGGGTGGAGGGCAGGGATGATACAGGTCGGAGGATGACCGAAGGCACGGTCGAAGAAGAGGGCCTTGAAAGGGCCTTGAAGGAGGCGAGTGATATCAGCGACCCTCCATCCTGAAAGCTTACAGCCACTGAAAATATACCTTTGCCACGTGGAGTCAGATTTCTGGCAGACCCAAACCCTTGTGTTATAACGGAGATCCGACTGTATTTGGGAAGCATCAGTGAGGGTTGTCTTGAGCAAACAGTGGCGTGTTAGCGATGAGTGTCTAAATATTCTCGCAGCATGTTGGTAATCCAATCCCCATCTTGGCATCCCAAGCTGATAGAGAGCTTCGAGAGCAGATGGTCCAGGTGCAAATCAATACTTAGGGGCTGTTGCTAATCCAATCCTGTTATGTGATTCCCCGTACTTGGCTGGTGATCTCCTCACGGCGGCCTATTTTAGCGACGGGGATGGTTACTCAATCCACGACTGTTTGTGGGACACTGCTGCGTGCAATTGGCTGCCCCTTTTCGCCCACAAAATAGTCAACCCACTTTGCCGTATTTTCTGTGAAGCGCTTTGAGACGTCTCATCGACATGACAAGGAGCTGTGTCACATATAAGGATTAGTATTATTATTACAAGTTTGATACAAGACAGCTTCATGCTGCAGGAATGTTACAAAATTGAAATGCAGATCTTCCTTCCCTCAATCCGTTTAAATAAAGATTTCTTTGTCAGTAGACGTCAATAAAACCTCGGGAGGAGAGCCTCGAGAGGTGCAATTTTGCGAGGAGAAAGAAAGAACGAGAGATGGCTATAACAAGCCACAAGACTGGGTGATGCAATCTACTGGTTGGATTGAGTGACGGCGGCTGTGTGTCAGTTGCTGTAAATCTGCCCTCGTGGCTCATATTTTTCTCACAGAACTAGATCCACACTCCCAGGGAATGCAGACGCAAGGAATTCAGCGAGACCTTCTTTATTTAACACGAGCGTTGGTATTTCCGATGCACTCTGACTGTTTGGTTGACCTACAAGTCTCTGTAAACTTGCCCTGACAGATTTCAATGAGGGACAGACGGTCACATCACTAAAATCTGCGATGACCTAATTAGGAAGCCAGGACTGTTATAATAATAATCCTTGTATTTAGTTTAGCACCTTATCGTGTCTCGAAGTACTTCACAGGACCTGCTGTAAAGTATAGTAACTGTATTTTGTAGGCCAAAAATTGCAGCCAATTTTTGTTCCAGCAATATCCCACAAATAGCTGTGAAGTGAGTGACCAATTTTATCTGTTGATTGTTAGCCAAAACACCAGAGAAACTCCCTCGTCTTTTCAACTTGTACCATGGGATCTTTCACATTCACCTGAGCAGGCAAACAGGACCTCAGTTTTAATGTCTCATTCGATGGACAGCGCCTCCAACGATGCAGCATTGTGTTGGGAGAGTCAGCCTGGATTGCAAGTTCAAAGACCTAAAGTGGCTTAAACCCCACAACCTCAGAGGCAAGATCATTATCAACTGAATCAGACTGATGCTGTTCTGTGTGCACTGGGCCAGATTTCCAGTAATTAACATCACAACTTGAAGTTATTCCATTTGAGTAACAGTTATTAGTACTCAGACTGTGCCTGAGAGGGGATTTCAGTAAACCTCAGTGTATTTCATCTGCAAATGTAATGCAAAATACATTTGCATAATAACTACCTATTGCCGAACTAATCTCTAATAAATGTAAATTGTAATTACGGGCTAAATTGCACTTTACAGTAATAAGCAAATGAGACTAATGGATAGAGTGCTGAAGGTCGTATTACTCAAGTTGGAAAATAGTGACCATCTGGAAAGGGAAACGTGGGCGAGGAATAGTTCTGTATGATTGCGCGCATTCTGACTTGTGTTTTAATCCTGTCTCTCTTCTCGGGCAGGATAGCAACTTTTACTAACCAGCTGTACATGTATGGATAGCCCGAGAATTGGGATGATACTCTGAAAAAAATTCAATTAAGCAGATGAATATTGAAATTTTATAGATGTCCTTTTTATTACATTGTAGAATTATGTGCCTTTGATATAGTTGATGAGGAGTAATATTAATAATCCTTGCATTTGATAAAGTACTTTATCACGTCTTCGAGATGTCTCGAAGCACTTCACAGGATATACTGTAAAGTGAATTGACTGTATATTTTGTGGGCGAGTAGGGATGGACTGGTTTTATGGGCAATGACACTGCTCCCGAAACTCACATGACCCTATTGCACGAGATGGATCGAGCAGCTTCATTGTACGTTGTACTGCAGGACTCGAGCCGTTGTTTTATTGTGCGTTTTCATTTTTATTGCAGGTTCTTTGTGGCGTTACTGTCGAGCAAGTATGTCCCTGTCTAGTTATCTACCTCCTCTTTGTGATCCAAAGGACGGCCATCTGCTCATGGATGGAGGTTACATCAACAACCTGCCAGGTAGGTTACGTGTGTAAAGAGATGACGAAAACCACCTCGGATAGAGAACAGCCACACAGCACAATCACACCAGCAGACCCACCAATCTAGGCTGGCTCAGTGACGAGCGCTCGTGAATACACTGAAAGCCGGAAAGTCACGTACAAGGAGTAGGAATGCAGACACCATTGGAATGGTGACCGGAAAGTCACATACAAGGAGTAGGAATGCAGACACTGTTGGAGGGGATGGCAACTCGGTAAATTAAATAATACTTGCATTTGGTATCGTGCTTCCTTGCATTGTAAAACATCTCTCCAAGTGCTTCATAGGATTTAAAGCGTGACTGTACTTGTAGGCAAATGTTCTGATGCATTGGAGTGTCAGCGTAGACAATATGGGTTCCAAGTCCTAACGTGGGACTTGAACCCACAAACCTCCTGACTCAGAGGCGAGAGTGCCACCCACTGAGTCAGGCTGATAACTTCTCTGGACCTGGACGCCATTGTGTTGTCCTTTGCATCTGACTTCCATCTTGTTGCTCTTCAGCTGATGTCGCCCGGTCGATGGGGGCGAAGATAGTGATCGCAATCGACGTCGGCAGTCAAGATGAAACCGACTTGACAAATTACGGCGATAGCCTTTCTGGGTGGTGGCTGCTGTGGAAACGCTTGAATCCTTGGGCAGAAAAAGTGAAGGTAAGTAACAAACAAAACCCAAAAAAATCTACCACGGCTAAATATAAATTTACTGGGTGGCAGAGTACCTTGTCTTTATTATAAATGATTTTTCCTGTAGCGGTTGCAAAAAAAAAACCTTGTATAAGCTATAGCCAGCCTTTTGATGGAATGTTGCCCCAATTCTCGCCTGTCCGTGTGTTGTGATGAAGGATATGGTTGCAGGTTTTGAACATGGCAGAGATCCAAACCCGTCTAGCTTATGTGTGCTGCGTGAGACAGCTGGAGGTGGTGAAGAACAGCGATTACTGCGAGTACATTCGACCACCCATCGACCGATACAGAACTCTGGAGTTCGGCAAATTCAATGAAATCGCAGTGAGTATCAGAATCCATCCGATACGTCAATCTCCCTGTTCTAGTCTACCCCTAGAGGAATGAGTCTTCAGTGCTTCTTTTTCCCCCACAGTTATTTGGAGGAATTGCCGTGATCTCTTAAGTAGAAGGAATAATATTTTAAATGAGTTCCAGTGAAGTGCGCTCTCACAGAGGTCAGGATTATTTCTGCCACAAAAACAAAAATACATAGAGTAGAAATGCCATAACTGGAGAGGGAGGAGTTTTACAGCACATTTTCCACGGATTCTATTGAATATTCCTCCACAGTAATGGGTGGACCATTGTTGTTTCTATTAGTTGGCAGCAATGGTACACATAGTTTTAAAATTGGCTAATGGGATTCCAAGCGCTCCCAGCCCCATGAGGTAGGGAGTGTAGACAGCTTACGAGAGGTAGAGAATTGAAGACGAATTCAACGAAGGCTGCTCCCACAAGCCCTTTTCTTTTTGACAAGCTCTGCGGTTCCAGCTGGTTAAACTCCAGCAGCTTAGCCCCGACCCACGCTCTCAAATTCCCGAACCTTGGCACCCGCCAGCCTGCACCTAATACTCCCTAGAATTAGGGGTAAGCAGAGTGCGTCCATTCCTGGGGAGAGAGAGCGTGCATTTCCATTTCCAGACACAGCAAAATTTCCATGAGCGGGTGCCAGACACACGTGGAACTCTGCTTGGTATACTCCCAAACATGGTGATGGGTTTCTATATGTGTCGGATTGACCAAATAAAATGGCTGAACTCGTGTGTATCCCCCGAGTGCTGTTTCACTGATGCACTGCCTTGCTTACTCAGGAAGTGGGATATCAGCACGGGAAAACACTATTCGAGCTGTGGAATAGGAGTGGAGTCATCGAGAATATGCTGAAAGACAGACTGATCGATGATGTCTCCAAAACCCGTCCATCTGATGTAAGTTTGACATTCATTGCCAGTCATTTATAGAATGGGTATCTGCACTGGCTGCTTGAGCTCAATAGAATCACAGAATGTTTCAGGGCACTCACAAGGTAACCATTCGACCCATCTTGTATGCTGGTGGAAGCTCTAACTTGTAGAGGATTTACTGTAGAGTAGTGACTGTGTGTTTTAATTCTACATCTGTAGTAGACGCAATTCCACGAGCTACGTGACTGTTTGACTTCTCAAATGATCTTTGAGAACAAATTTTAATTTTTAAACAAGATTACCTGCCCTCCACAGTGCAGCAGATGAATTGGGTCCCTGCACAATTCTTATTTTGTTGCAACGTAACTCAAAACATTTTCTCTCTCTCTAACCTTTGTATTATGTTCATCTAATAATTGTGCGTTTACTAATTACCATAATAATGAGTGCAATTTATTCTCTACTCCCCCACTCGCTCTCTTTTGAGATCACCCACTCCTTGCCTCTACAGCTTTTAAAGGAAACCTTGCCTTTCTTTTTTTTCCCACACCACTGAAAATTGATGGTCCATTTCATTCGGAACCTTTAATGAACAAAAGTACAAAGTGCCCGAAGAGGCAAAAACTTCATTGATCAGGACCTGGGTACCTAAGTGTACCTGTCAGGTGCTATTACGTATTAATCTGAAGTACCATAATGCCAGCAAGGCTATAAATAAATAATGCTCGTATTTCAGGCCAAGATTTATTCTCAGCAAGTTCACCTTTTGCTGACTAACTGTCCATATGTATCTGGCCCTCCGTTTGCAGCCTGTTTGGCTGTGGGACAGTGGTGGAGCAGAGATTCAGTTCTGTTCCTTTTTTACCTGTATTAAAGCGAGAGTAGGTGAAGAAATTCCAATAGATAGATGGGTGGTTCTATTCAAATAACAACAACAACAAATTACATTTGTATAGCGCCTTTCGCATCAAGGGAGGGTAGGGGTAGGAGAGTGACCGAAGGCACGTCTTGAAATGGGTCAGGAAGGGGGCGAGGCAGAGGGACAGAGGGTTGGAGTTCCAGGGGAATATTCTACATCAATATGTATTCAATATCCATAGAACGACAGTCTCGCTCTGTACATGATCCTCTGTGGAGCTTTTTTTGCTTCCTTAAGGTTAGGAAGTCTCTGGCCTCCTGTGGGGGAGAGAGCGGGGATTAAGTCAGATCCTTGGGAGGGTGGCATTTGACTAAACGTACCAAGGTCTCAGCTTTTCCCAATGCAAAAAATGTATTCGAGTGTAAAGAAAAGAGATTGTAGGGTAGATTTTCTACGTGATCTAACGTACTCTTATTTTAGAGTATGTGCAATTTGGCATAGTGAAATTAATCTTACTTCTGAGCCTGTTTCTCACAAGGTCTTTTGTGAACTGCAAAATACTATCTTAGAAGTAATGATAATAATCCTTACATTTGGATTAGCACATATCACGTCGGGAGGATGTCCCAAAGTGCTCAACAATGCTCCCGAGCTGGAGACGGAGGGGAAAGACAGAGGAGGGTAGGGAGAAACCCTTGTTGGGACAAGCGCTCTGAGACGCTATATTGAGGCAGGTGGTTGTTGTTGTTGGGAGGACAAAGTTGCCCGAGAGATGTGAAGGCTCAGTCGTGTTGGACTTCAGAATCCGTATTCCATCCTCTGATCTCCTGGGTGATCGTAATGTACCACACCACGACCGTAGCCTTTCCTCTGAGTGAGGTGCTCTGTCCCGTAAGTGCCATCCTCAAATATGCAAATATAGGAAATGGCTTTTAAAAGGCAAAGGACATTTGAAAAGTCAATAAATTTGAAAGCTTCGGCGTTTGAAGAACAGCCGCAGAATTTTGGAAGCACTGATTCCCTTAACACTCGACCATGAATAATATTTCACAGATAATTTCCAAGTATCATTATCGTGTGATTTGTCAATGACCCAGATTTCCTAGCACATTGTTGCTGAGATGAGAGCTATTTGCTCCAATTTTTTTCTTCGAAGAAACTTTTCATGAGTTATCCCCTTTCTGAGACATTGTCCTATTATTTAAATTGCTTTCTAGCTTTAAGTGGCGAGTTGATTGCTGCTGTGTGGATGTTTCACTGTTGATCAGATCGTGTCACCGTAGCTTCAGTCCTCTTCTCTCGAAAAGCGCTCTCAATTCTCTCTACTGTTGAAACAATGTTGAACGTAATAGGCGAAACCTTAGGCAAGTTTCCTCACTCTGTTTAGCTAGCAATAAGTAGGAACCTGGTTGTTATAGTCGATTGGTAGATCGCTTTTCCGGGTAAATATCCTTCCAAAAAAATAATAACGATAATTTGGTCTCGATCCACGACTATTTGTGGGGCACCGCTGTGTGCATTTGGTCTGCCGCGTTTCGCCTACAAAATTAAGTCAATTTACTTTACAGTATATGCTGTGAAAGGCTTCAAGACGTCTCGAAGATGTGATAAGGCGCTATATCAAATGCAAGGATTACTATTATTTGAGTCGTTGCTCAGATAATATCGACAGTCGGGGAGCTTGCTGCAGCCCTGGCATTTGCCAGCGTACAGTAAATCGGAAGAAAAGCGCCCAAGTGCTGCCTGTTCATGTGTGATCGTGCTCATTCTTGCTGCCAGTATCCCAGATTTACATTTGCAATCAGCATGTTCGGGGAACAAATTAAAATCTCTTTACCTGACCTTTCGGCCCATCCAACCTCATCCCTGTAGAATGCCCACTCAACTGATCTTTTCCTTGCTGTTGCTCATTACGTTGCTGTGCTTTATTGTCCCCAGGGCTTTGGGATGTTCTCCTGACGTGAAAGGCACTATATAAATGCAAGTTGTTGTTGTTGTTGCACCCACAGACTGCGAGCATTGCTTCGAGCAAATGTAAAGTGAAAACTGTTCAAATAAATCTCGCCAACCCTGCACGGAATAACTCTTGTGCCCTTTCGCAGGTTACGTGCCCTAACGCCTCCTTCACTGACCTGGCTGAGATTGTGTCCCGGATCGAACCCGTCAAAATGCTCATCGTGGACGGTGAGTAAATCTTGGCCGCTTGCAGTCAGCAACGTATCCTGTGCCAGGATCCTGCACCATCCTGGTAACCACGTTTTCTCCTACTCTGTTTACTGTAGTCACTGACATGAGGTGACTGTAGTCAAATTAGTGTGTTCCAGCACCTAAGGAGATAGAACACTGAAACACAGTCCTTAACCATCTCCTGACACTTGTATCATCTTCTCCCACATTGTGTGCAATGTTTCAACACCAGTTCCTGGCTTGCATGAGGATTCCCCCATTAGGGATTTGGTATCTTTCTTTTTATTTTCCTGACTACCCACATCTCTATCACCCCACCTGTACATAGGAACAAGAGTAGACTGTTCAGCCCTTCGAGCCTGTTCCGCCACTCTATTAGATTATGGTTGATCTGTACCTTTATCCACGACCACCATGGAATTCCTTTATCTCTGGAATTTCCATGTATAGGTGGGATGCGTGGAACTTTGATTTGGATACTTGAATTACGGTGATAAGTTTCCGTAGGTGTTGGACACCTGGCCGGCCCAAAAAAAACAATTGCCCCCGTGTTTCCTTTGGTCTTTTACTTAGCAAAACACAACGTAATGAACGCAGGAGATGTTTTACTTGATACAATTGTTACTTGTCCTAATAAATGTTTGAGCGCATAATTTATTTCCCTCCCCAGAGTTGAACCCAAGCTGTTGTTTCTGTGTAAGCGGCAGCACAATCACTCAATCATGAAATGTTCGTTCTGGCTACATCGAGGAGCTATAAATCATGGGTGATTGCAGAGATCCATGAATGCTTCATTCAGCTTCACAATGGTGCAATTATGCTGCAGGTTAAGGAAATTTGAGTCTCTGCACAATCACTGTAGTTTCAGAAGACCCAAGTCCATTAGGTTAATGTTAAAGCTCTCAGTGAGTCCATGTGGGGCAGTGTTCACCAACCGGTCGATCGCTGCTTGTTGGCGATCTCGCGCTCGATCAAAAAGAAGGAGCAGTAGAATCGGGTAGTAGGTTAGTCCAGTTGAAAACAAGGCCAGATGCACAAAGTATTTCATGTAATCCCGAAACACAAATATAAACATGAATGTTTAAACTGCGGTAAATATTGCTCCTTTTGTTTTTATTGAGCATGTGCGAGATGCCAGTTGGACGGGTTGGAGACCCCTGGTCTGGGCTGGCTGCAGTAGTACTGTAGGTTTTCTATAAGGGCCACATCCACAGGATTTGGAAGGTTTTTAATGCTATATAGATGCCAGTACTGTCCTTTACTCCAGTCTCCTACAGTTCTCTCCGTTCGCGCTTCTCTCCTGAAGGACATCCTTTTTCCTTTACCTGGGGATATGGTTCCACCACACAACACCCAGCTTATCGCTGCTCGAATGTGACCTCTGAGAATTGGCAAACGGCAGTGACAAGTAGCTGCTTTTAATATATTAAACTGTGTGAGCGCACTACGTTACATTGAATAGTTGGAAGGTTTGGTGACAAAGCTCGCATAGCTTCCTGTCACTGGATAAGTGCCGGGGCCAACAGTGCTTTCATTTACAGTTGGCTCCGATAAATGCACCAGGAGTTGTTAAACACAGTGTTACTGCCATGTTTCACTCGGGTTTGAAAGCATTATTCGAAACTTCATTTTTTTTGTCAGGCACCATTTACAGTGGTTGTACTTTTTCTTTTAACAAAATTGCAAAGCCTTTATCAACACGCACTTTGTAAAGAAATACGATTTAAGCTTCAGTGTATTCGTACGGAAATAATTGTCTCCTAAAGAGTTAACCCTGAACCTTTCACTGCCTAGTCCTCAATGTACAATATGTGAAATTGATGACTTGCTTAAGTGGCCCATTAGGTAGTTTTATGCTAAGTGTTTCCTGCAGGTTCATTCACTTTGCCTTTGGCTTTTTGTATCTGTTGCAGAAATGCTCATTCAGGTACACTTTGGAGATGTGCAGTGCAATGGAACACAGCCTCATTGAACAACAACAACAAAATTACATTTATAGAGCGCCTTTCACGTCGGGAGGACGTCCCAAGCGCTGAACAGTCAGGTGTAGGGGTGAGGGAAGGCAGAGAGGAGGGAGGGAGACCAAAGGCACGGTCGAAGAGAAAGGTCTTGAGACCGGCCCTGAAGGAGAGAAGAGAGGAAGCGAGGCGAAAGGACCGTGGGATGGAGTTCTAGAGTGTGGGGGCAGAGAGACTGAAAGCCCGGCCACCGATGGTAGGGCGGGTCGGGCGGGAGACATGGAGCAGGCTGGAGCCCGCCGAACGGAGGGAGCGGGCAGGTTGGTAGGGAATCAGCAGGTCAGAGAGGTAGGAGGGGGCAAGGCCATGGATGGCCTTAAAGGTGAGGACGAGGATCTTGAACTCGATCCTCTGGGGGATGCGAAGCCAGGGAAGTCGGGCGAGGATGGGAGTGATGGGGTTACGGAGCCTGGTGTGCGAGAGTACACGAGCTTCAGAGTTTTGGATGATCTGCGGCTTGTGAAGGGAAGAGTTGGGAAGGCCAATGGGGAGGGAGTTCCCGTAATCAAGAGCGTAAACCGATTACACTATTCCAGTATGAGACCTGGATTCTTTTCCCTCGCACTGCAATGCCAGATCCCAGCTAATGGGGTGGGTTGTTATATCCACTTTTGAGCCACCGTTGCTGCCTCATTGAAGTGGAAACAAGCTTGGACGGAGCTTCAAGATGTAGTGGGGTTCCTTATTGAATGTGAGCAGCACTGAAATAGCTTAGGATCACTGGTAAAAGAATACGGTGATTCACATGTCACTTGCCATAAATCAGAGCTGCTTTGCCTTGTAAGCGGTTTGAAAAGACGCTGAGTCTGCGCTCAGTCCTTTGTGAAATAACATGATTATTTTGGCCTCAGAGTTCATCGGGTTTATACTGTCCTCTGCTTTCTCTTTCCACCACCCACCCCAATAATTCATCAGAAATTAATTTAATTGCAAGAACTCTTCGCCTGGAAGGTCAGACTAATCCATGATCACCAATTTGTGGCGGAGGCTTATTGCTTTAGTCAGCAGAGAGGGATCACACAGGCAGATCGCATGCCTCAAGTGTGATCTGTTAGCCGTCAAATCAAAACCAATCATAGGTTCGCCCACAAAATACAGTCAATCCACTTTACAATATATCCTGTTAAGCACTTTGAGGCATCTCAACGACATGACGAGGCATTATCTCAAACCCGAGGATTATTATTATTTATATTGTAGGATTTAGGCCGAGTTTGCATTTAGGCGAGTTCCCCTCACTGCTTTCTGTAGCCCGAAAGGCCAAAAATTACATTTGTATGAATTTAAGGCACATGCAGTCTATCCCTTACTGAATCAACGACCAGTGGAAATAATTTCCTGCATGGCAATTAAAGTGAGATATGGATATGTGTTCAATTCAGCAGTGAAATGACCTACTCTGCTTCACCCTCTCCCATCCTTTCACCATGACAATCTTTGCACAAATCTTTCCTGCCTGCTGGTAGCAACGACTTGGATTTATGTAAATCCCTTCATGCTAGGAAGTGTCTCTGAGTGCTGCACAAGGTTAGATACCAGGCAAAGGAGGAGAGGGAGAGGAGGTGGCCATTGGTGCATTCAAAGAAGTAGGATTTGAACTTGTGTGTGAGGAATCAGAGGGGCAACACACCTCCTCAATCCATTATCATTTCATTCTGTGGTACGCAACAGTTGAGAACAAATGTGTTGTTGCACAGATTGCAGAGACTTGTTTGCAGTGATGTGTACTGTAGACTTGTAATGCAACTTCCACATTCCTTTCCTTCATGGGAATGGGTCGGATCAATAGAATTCTGATTTGCGTTGTGAAAAGGCCCATCACTGCCAGCAAATAATGGTAATAATCCAATAATCCTGTGCAGTGAGAATTTGTACAGTGGTTTCTGATCCTAAGGCTCGATCTTTGGGTCAAACACATGATCAAAACATTGAGCAGCTTGTACAAACACATTACAAATAGCAGAGTTTTGAAATTTAATTTGCACGAACATTCTCCTGCTTGTCTTGGATGTCCTCACTGATTAATTCAAGGCATGTAATTAAATGCGGTCGTATTTGATATTTGCCGTCCCTTTCTGCAAGACATTAAGACGCGGGGCAAGAGGTTTACGTAGAAAAAGCATTCTATGTAGACCTGACATGAATCCTGTGTGAGTGGAGACGAAATTCACTCGGCATATCCTGCTGTCAGCTTCGCTTTTCCCTGCCAGGGCCAAGTTTAATGTGCTGACTGCTGTCCCAATTCGCAGACGAATCCGACTACCAGACTGACTACGAGGAGGATGTGTTGGATGCAGAGAAAGACGACTGTGACAGCATCGCCCACGGACAGAACGGAGACGAAATCTTTGACAGCGTAAGAACTGGTCGTGATATTCCCCCTCACAGTCACAGTGGGTCCCCTGTTTATAACTAACCTCGGGGATAATATGCAGAACACCAGGCACCAAATTAAATGCAAAGCTTATTGTTATCCGCATTGGATAGAATGCCTTTTCCATCTGGATCCCATTGTGTTTTAAACGCTCCGGGTTCGCTGTCCCTATATCAATGCTCGTTGTTGTTTCAGGATGAGGAGGCTGAACTAGCAAAGAGCACAACTGACTCGAGACCTCAGGGTACCGTGGCTTAACTGAGCGGAGCAACTATCAGCCATCGCAAGCAACTTCCCCGAACAGCTGGGGACCAGCTGGGAACCTAGCATTTCCCTCTTCTCTCCCTCTAATCAGACATTAACCTCTGCTACGTGCGGCGACGAGGTTTGGGGAAAGGGGAGCGGTTAATATCCTCTGCTCTGCATTGTGGCTAAGATGCCGGTGGGAGGGGACGGGGGGGGAGAGCAAGATGGGGCAAGGAAAAGAAAGAAAGATGGTCACATGCTGACATTTCCTTCTTAATTTATGAAGCGTAGAATCAACCTGACAAACTTAAGGACTTGCAACTGACTGAAGGTAACCAGCATTTCCTATAAATAGATTTGGTTAAGTCAGTGTCACACTATCTGTTCGCGTAATGTTCAGAAATCTTGCATTTTATCTCCCGCCACCTCTTCTCTCCCTACCCACCTCCCCCCCCACCACCCCACACACACACACGCCACCCCACATTTTTAAAACAAAAAGTAATGATAACATTTCAATTGCCGGAAGGTTCCAAAGAAGGTTGTTGGAGTCTCCTGCAGCACTAAGTGTGACAATCATTGCCAAAGTGTGTGCCTTGGGAAGCTGCAGGAGGTCAATGGCAGCAGTGACTCTTTCTGAATTTACCTCTTCCATGACGGTGGGGGGCGGGGGGGGGGGGGGGGAGCTCGAGTTGTCACTTAGTCTTCACTTGGTTTCTTCCCCCCACCACCACCACCACCCAAACCCCCCCCCCCCGCGGTGTAATTGGCACTGAGCTCTCAGCAGAGCCTCGGCATCAGATGAATCCTCTTAAACCTCACAGCTGGAACATGAGTAGAGTGCTGGTATCCGCACAGCTCGACTCCCGTTCATTTCCATTCCCCAGCACACCTCGTTCCTGCCTCTTGCCGGGCTGGTATGATCGATGGCTGCCATGGAAACAGACGATTGCCGATTGGGATACGTGCAGAGACTAAGGTGCCACACACACATCCGTGTGCCAGTTGGGTTTGGCCAGAGAAAAAAGCGGCATCGCGTCGATAATAATCCTTGCGCTTGATGTGTAGCCCCTTATCACGTCTTCGAGACGTCTCAAAGCGCTTCGCGGGATACACTGTGAAGTGAATCGACTGTTTCTGTGTGAGACTGGGGGACGCTGCTCAGGGTGAAGCTGACCACAGAGCTATTTTGAAACAGTTCTGATCTCCATTTTACCGCAACAATATCAACGTTCCACTTGATTCATTGGGTTGGTGACACGGGGTGTGTGTGTGACGTTAATTAGTTCATTGTTGGGGGGGAGGGAATTGGATGTGTGCTGTGGGAGGAGAGTAGCGCTTTAAACTGGCCACGCACTTGTTGGTTGAGGTGCTGGAAAGAGAGCAAGACTTTTATTGAATAATTCCAATTTCGAGGGTGAGATCAGACCACCAACTTCCTGTCCCTCCCTCTTGAAAGTACGGCAAAAGCCAAATGCAGCTTCTGACAAGAATCTCGATACTATTTCTGTTAACATTTCCCCGAGAGATCCCGAGAGCTCAGTATTCCACGGACGATCGCTGCTGACTTCGCAGAGCTCCGCGACTTTAATTAATGGAGTGTCACTGAAGCTCTCGTCACATAAACCCAAAACACAGTCTCCGCTGAAATGGGATTCTCAAAGGGGAGGCTCGTGATGAGATGACTACACTCACCAACATTTATAGTCCAAACTCTGGGGCATTCGGCTGAGATTTCCTTAAGTTAGTTAGCGGGAATTAAGCTTTTTTTAACAGCTTAGAATGTGATGTGTGCAATGTCAAACACTAATCTACTTTGATTTCAGGGCTCCCGTTTCTAAACGGGACCCAACATCCTCCTCTTGGGATGAATCTGTTCGGCTTAGTAGCTCCCTGCATTGTCTGGTTGAAAGCCGGAGAGCTGTTTCAGGCTCTTGCTGTAAAGGTGATGGAATAAGTGCCGAGCAACGCTGCATCAAATGATTTCCAAGTGCGTCTAACCTGCCTTATTGATAATTAGGTCTATTTTAGGATGTTCAGGTTGTGTGTGTTCTTCGCTCCATTTGAGTCCCGTTGCTGAGTTCTTCCGCAGCTAACTGCATATCAAGGCAGCTTAAATCTGGCCTTAAATCGGCGCGATTTGAATGGAGTGGATCAAATATTTGTTAAAAGTACCTTATCAATATTCTATGTAATACAGCAGTCCATCCATATTGACACTGCAATTTAAATGCTGTCGTTACGATGGCCGTGTGTACAGTAATGTGTTCAATATTTATAAGGAAAGGACTGTTGAAGGAGATGTTGTAAAACATTGCCCTCGTAGGCTTGGGTCCATTTGTCGCCGTGCAACTGTGACCTGGACAAACAGATTGTCTTTGCAATAATCAATGCAATATTTAACATTCTGAAAACTTAATTCACAGAGAGCTGAGAGCTTTGTGTACTGATCGCTAACTGGTGTCCGCCAATTCTTCTAAAAACAACCGCTCTGTCCCACGCCTGCCATGAAACGTACGGAGGCGGGAGAGACATTGCCTTCGCTTTCGCCTTTCCTTCCTCTCTCCTGAAGGCTGGGCTACAGATTCTCAGGCATCCGGTGTCTGTCCCTCATGTGTGTGAGCCCAGAAGAATGTCAGCAGGCTATTCACAGAGCTGTCACAGCCAAGTCCACTGTAGTCTTTACCTGACATCCGTGCCTGTATTTTCCAGCAGAGATCACAGGATGGCAGTCAGCAGTGGGAACCCATTCTAACTTTACCCAACACATTTCTCAATTTAAACAATTCAGAGAGTGGAGAATAACCTGTCGACCTCTGTTTCTTTTTCAATAAGTTTCGAAGAAAAGAGAAGGTAGGATAATGAGAGTGATGGACCTTCTCCTGGTTGCAGATGCTTAGCGGTAGATGGACTTGTACACAAAGGATCTCGTTTTGGAAGGTGGTTTTGTCAGCTGTTTGGGCGTGACACAAAGCAGGAAAATGCCAACATACAGTAATGCTCTTAAAACGGATCTCTGGGGATTATTCTAACTGCAGTGTTGTTGGTTTCAAGTGCATATATTCAAACCTGCCTGCTCGCTGTGACTAGCTTTGTGGTAGGAGACAGGTAGCTGATCATACCTGCATCGGAACAGGTGTTGGGATGAATTGGAAATCATCTCCTGTTCAATTATTGGGATGGTGGGGTGAGGGGTAACCTGCTTATCAAAAGGACACCAGCGAATATTCAGCTACTTTCTGCTCTTTATATCCTAATTGTAGTAATTTCGTATGGCCCGTACCCTCACACTGGGGTGTGTTGCTACAAGTGGTCTAATATTGTAATTGCTCCTTGACTGAATAAAAAAAGTTGAATATGTATTTGGTGACCGCTGTAAGTGTGCAGTGCATTATCCCTTTGAGGACTGAAAGCGTTCCCTTTTCCTGAAATAGTTTCACGAAATTATTTCGAACGTATTCTGCCAGATAAAGCATAAATTAAATCCGAGCTTGACTAGGCATTCACATTGAAGGCTTCCTCTGTCCGAGATTTCCCAGTAATGTACAAGTCCATCAGCAGCCAAAAAGCCAACGTGCTCCTTGAATTTGGCAGCACAAACGTGCAGCATTCGTCTCGATCAACACAAGTGTGAGAAATCTGCATCCTGTATTGCAGTAATGTCACCACAGGCCTCTAAGGGTTATTAGGATAGTGTCACCATTGATCTTGTATCCCATGTGTATTTTTGTATTATTATAACTACAAGAAATGCCTTTTATTTTGCCAATGATGTATGTGTATGCAGCAAATCTGTATGTAACCAGTATGTGCACTAAAGCATTTCTCAGAGTTTCCAGTGTACCTGTGTGCCTTATCTTCTATTAAAGGTAACTCTTTATTTTTGCGATTGTGATTTTCACCTTTTGTTCCTCGCCTCAAAGTACACAACATCCACACCCGCGGAATGGGACACAGTGACAGGAGGTAAGAGCCAGAGTTCTGCGGTTCCTTTGTGTGTTTTGAGCGATGTGCTCAACTGTGGAGCTAATCCCAGCCACTGATACATTTCTCTCCTTGTTTTTCGTTAATTAAACGAAGAGTAAAGGAAAACACTTACTGTGATTCAGCATTTTAAGATTATACTAATTTGATCACCCAACTGCGGCAATTAATAATAATAATAATAATCCTTGCATTTGATTTTCCTGCTCTTACCAATTTTACACAAAATACAGTCACTGTACTTTACAGTAAATCATCTTGCCAATTGCGCACAGCAGTGTCCTACAAACAGTCATAGATTGAGTGATTATTACTTTTGTTTTTGAAGGGCTTATTACCCCCGGAAAAGCGATCCGCCAATCGACTAGCAACCGGGTTCCTATTAACTGCTGGGTAAACAGTACATGAAATGGTGAAAGAACTACTGCAACTTGAGAGAGGAACAACCGGCAAAGATTCCCGTCCCTGTATTGAAGAAGGAATGTTGGGAACTGACCATTAATTTGGGTCACTTTCCCGTCTCCTGCTGCAACAGCAGAATAATTGAAAAATGTAACGGGATAACACACAGCTTAAATCAGTGAAAAGGGTGGTCATGTCTTAAAAAAAAAACTGCAGCGTGCCTGGACTGACTGACAAACCATCGTGGAAAATCTTCACTTCTTGAAAGTTGCATTAAAATGAGTCTCTGCAATCCTGACTGGGACTTCGATGGTCCACTCAGTGACGGACTCTTTCCGCTATATTTTTTTGTCCTTCACTCGGTTGGTCTTATTCTTTCCGCCTCATCCAAAGAAGTTAATGATGCTGTCCAAGGTTGACATCAACCACAGCTTTGTCCTTGGAGTTTCACTGATGGCAGGCAGAGGTGCAGAGTGCTAATATCTTCATGTTTTTTTTTTAAAACAGGATTCTGTCCGTGGCTCGATCTCTTAAGATGTTTGAGTAGCTGTAAGTGATGCATGAGGGGCAACTCGTCCATACAGTCTCCCGAGTCTGGCCTTCGCATCTCCTTGATGACCTTGATTTCAGAAATGGGCAATGGAGATGAAGCAACATTTTACCACTTTGCTCCAATGGTTAATAATCCCAGAAACCAGGTGGAGATTAATTAAATTGCAGTGTCCGTGGAGTTTCTAAGGTCAGGATTCGCTTCTGTTGTTGTAGCCAACGGTAACCATTCTGCCCTTGTAAAAGCTAGGTGAGTCGGGGTAGAGGGGTGGGGGAAATGCGAGCTTCCTTTGATAAGCAATTGCCCTTTCTAAATTAAAAGGCAGAGGTTAATATGTGTATACCACAACCTTTGATAGATTACAGTCTTTCCACAGCCAGGCTCTCTTAACATGAAAAATGTTTTGACACAGTCAGTGACTTTAGCAATTAATTCACCGAGCGACAGTTCTGTGTTGAACAAATCATCTCTTGTAGCCCAGTGTCTCAGGAAGTCCATCAAAAGAACGTG